CATAGGTTATCGAAAAATTCTTCTTCTCAGGTAGCAGCATGTATTGCAGTGACACCACTTTTTTAAAATTAAAAGACAAATGTAGATGATGAGCAAACAATTACTAGTGCAAGACTTAGTATGCACGTAAACACAACAATACCTGAGTTCAATTCTGTGATCTTCTCGCCATTGACAGTGAATTGCTGCAGAAAAATCAAACAAGATGCACAGCAGAATCAAAGACAAGTATGGCACAATTCCACACCATGATCATGCCTTGGGTAGGAAGAAACCAGTTCGACCTTTCCCCTCAAAATATCATAATATAGTACCGTTCGGAACTTTCGTACTTCTTTGCCTGGGCTTTCACACACGAGCACAGGCAAAGAAGTCTTCTGATGGGTTGCTGTACGATGCTGTACGATCCTGCTTCGTCCAATCCGAATGGCCTAATTGAGGTGAAATGTCCCTTTTCCATTAACAGTGTGTCCAGTGCCAAGATGTCTCCTGCAGACATCTACAGCAAATTAGGAAGTTGCCTGCCTAGAAGCGACGGAGGCAAAGTTGATGTTACGAAGCAGCCACAAGTCCTACACACAGGTTCAGGGAGAATTGGCTGTGATGGACAAGGAGTGGGCAGACTGTCATCTGGAAAGACATGCCTTATTCCACGAATCTTCATATTGCAAGGACATTTCGTGGCAGTGTGCCTCGGAATGACACTTTGCTACCCGGGTTGAAAGTTTTCTGCACCAGCCACATGCTATCAGAGACGCTAACTATTAGGTGTGGGTGGGTGCACTTATGCATGTGTGAGCATGTATACCACCCTACCTTAACCATCCATGGCAAGAACGGAAACAGCATAGTAATGAGAAACGCACTGGGGAACTGCATTGAGCAGATACAAAACAATAACACATGGCGATGCACAAACACACATACACCCATGCACACACAGACACCCATGCACACACAGAGACGGACACATACACCCATGCACACATACACCCATGCACACACATACACCCATGCACACTCAGAGACGGACACGCAAGTGATATCCAAATGCACCCAAGTCAATATCTGAACTTCCACTTCGAAGAACAGGATTCCCACAAAGCCACGCTTGAGGCGTTCTTGTTTCCGTCAGCAATCAGAGATCAATCTAAAATTACTCGTCCGCCGGCAAAGATAATGCGGTACAAGTACTCAATCTGCGGACAGCATGCTGTTTCGTTCTTTGTGAACTCATCAGTGCAGCCCAAAGAAAATGAGTTGCAGTACAAGTATAAATCTTAGCATCCTGATCAAGAGCATTGAGTTATCATACCTCCATTCCAGGTTGGACAGTGGACACCCCTGGGCTCCATATTTCTCAGTGTGTCACTCTACTGCACACACCTTCACCATATGTATCGAGGCTGCTCAGGCAGCACACTGGCCCAACTAAAGGGACCACAATGGTCCACATACTTGAACTGTCTTCAGTGCAGATTGCAGGCATCTGATTGTGTGGTGTGGCTAGAAGAAATAAATTATTATGCTGATCATTCTGGAATTCTCAGACTCAGACTCCTTTTAAAATCATAAGGTTAGTCTAGTCTGTACAGACACTATAACGAATTCTGCACTTTGATGTACACATATAATCAATGCACTAGTACCCTTGATAGAATAACTGAATGACCTTATAGCTTACCAAGCCACACAGGCAGGCAATCACTACATTCTTGGGTAGAGGCGTTCGCTTGGGTCTTCCGGAACTAGAGAATGACGACTTTCGACGATTCCAGTAATTTTGTAGGCGTCCAGGCATGGTTGAGCCTTGATATTCTAAAACTCTGTTTTATATTTACACTGATCTCAAAATCTAAAATGAACGAAGAAAAAGTGGATTTGGTAGATGGGGGACTAACTCCCACCCTATCCATTCTCCTCAAGAAGTCAATACACTGCAGAAGACTTGTCCAACACGAAACTTGAAGAAACACAGGAGAAGCACCACGTCCTTGCGTGGAACACTCAATAATGCTACGACACGACAACTACGGGAACAAGAATCAAGAGATTGAAAGACTCAGAGAGTTCACACCAGGGAGTCGTAAAAGCCCGGGAGAGGACACGGCACACATTCCCAGAAAACATCTTTGCCTCGCGCTGCCGGGGAACGCTGCCAGGGAACGGTGTTGCGAGGCAAGGAAATTATTATTTTCGAAAATTGTGATGTCTTCTTGAAATACTAATTGGGACATTCTCCGATTTCTCTTAGAGCACGGAGACGATTGCTCCGTCGAGTCTTCTGATCTCTATTTTCATCCTCATCTTCCAGCTGCCTCACTCATTCTCTCTCAGTTTATCGAAGTTAATTTATTCTGAGGCGATGGAAATGCAAGACAAATCCCTAATTGTACTTCACTTTTATTTGAGTTGGGGTGAACGAAATGAGATTTGTGGAAAATGACGCCACTTCCCGTGTTAGCCGCTGGTCGTATCATACAGCCCATATTCCATTGCAGGTGATGGGCCAACGTTCGTGTTGAGATCCGCTGAGTTTCCTCGTACTCGTGGAGTTGAATTTGTGGCAGAAATTGCACTGAATTGCAGTCAAATGGTTGTGAATGAAACGAGATTTGTGGAAAATGACGCCACTTCCCGTGTTAGCCGCTGGTCGTAGCATACAGCCCATATTCCATTGCAGGTGATGGGCCAACGTTCGTGTTGAGATCCGCTGAGTTTCCTCGTACTCGTGGAGTTGAATTTGTGGCAGAAATTGCACTGAATTGCAGTCAAATGGTTGTGAATGAAACGAGATTTGTGGAAAATGACGCCACTTCCCGTGTTAGCCGCTGGTCGTAGCATACAGCCCATATTCCATTGCAGGTGATGGGCCAACGTTCGTGTTGAGATCCGCTGAGTTTCCTCGTACTCGTGGAGTTGAATTTGTGGCAGAAATTGCACTGAATTGCAGTCAAATGGTTGTGAATGAAACGAGATTTGTGGAAAATGACGCCACTTCCCGTGTTAGCCGCTGGTCGTAGCATACAGCCCATATTCCATTGCAGGTGATGGGCGAACGTTCGTGTTGAGATCCGCTGAGCTTCCTCGTACTCGTGGAGTTGAATTTGCGGCAGAAATTGCACTGAATTGCAGTCAAATGGTTGTGAATGAACCGAGATTTGTGGAAAATGACGCCACTTCCCGTGTTAACCACTGGTCGTATCATACAGCCCATATTCCATTGCAGGTGATGGGCGAAAGTTCTTGTGGAGATCCGCTGAGCTTCCTCGGCGTACTCGTGGATTTATGAATTTGTGTCAGAAATTGCAGTCGAGTGGACTTCTGTGCGTGTGTTGTGAGTAAATCGCGACGGCTCCCTTCCTTCAGCATCGTCAAAACGCAACATAGAGCATTATTACGCACTCGTTCCATGATTCATGATAATGCCTGGATTCTTTTAAAAACAATCAATGTGTGTTCCCTATCTATCTACATTGTACATGGTTGCAGGTCGTTATTTATAAATCTTGATAATTTCAACACTTTTCTACTCGTATACTGAGTACGCGGTGACTTGAGCCGTTTAGGAAACGGAAGTCTTGGCGAGTGTACAAAAGGTAAACCTATCATTTGTACTTCATAACGGAATTGTGCACAAAAATGCACACACACGTTCGCGCGCACACACACAAGCACACACACAAACACTGTACAAACACACACAAAAGTACAAGCACATGTGCACATACACACGCCTCCCCCCCCCCCCCCCCCCACACACACACACTCAACTCCCCACCCCTGTACCATGTGTACTGAGTCTGACAGACATACAATCATGTTTATCCTTCCTTCGCCACCAGTTTCGGATAATGGTGTCAACAACGAGTTGTAAAATATTGGTATTTTAGGACTCCCTGCCCTGAAGACAAGCACAGCGCCGTGGATCGAGCAGATCCGGCCGCGCCGGCCTAGCGTGCTTCACTTTCTGGCCGAGGCAAACATCGTCCGCGTGCGCGCATCCCGTGTCCTCTCCCGGGCTTTTACGACTCCCTGGTGCTAGCCACTGAAAATAAAGTGCAGACAGCACAGTGCACAGGAAACCGTGATTCGAAGCCGAAGGTTCTCGTGAGTGACTTGCGGCGCGTTGCGCACCCTTTTATTTGATTTGATTTTTCTGCACGTGACCAGTGGTGACCCTAGCCATTAGGCCTCCGGGAATATGCTCGTATTTTTACCGATAATTCCTTTGAGCATTGCTCAAAATAACGTCCGATAATTCCCGTAATTCCACCAATAATTCTCACAATAATGCCTTTTTTCTTCCCTTTTTTTGCAGATACCGTACCGCTTACGGGTTTTTTTGCCACTTGTACGGGCAAAAAATCACGGTTCGCGTGAAACTCGGCTGGAAGCTTTTTTTTCTTTCTCTTTTGAAATACCGGGCGATCAACTCATTCAGGATCACAAGCTTTTTGGTACAAATCATGGTGTTAAAATGGAAAAAAAATTGAAAAAAGGGGGGCATTGCTCAAATTATACCGATTATTCCACAAAAATTGCCAATAATTCCCGTTTTAAAAATCACACCGATAATTCCCGAAATTATGCCGGCATATTCCGCGGAGGCCTACTAGCCATGCAAGCTGGCCGGGCGGATGTCAGTGGACAGTAGTACGTACAGTGCCGTGCGCAGCACTAGCGAGCGCTGGTAGATAAATCATCACGCAAGTGGAATGTTTATTTGTGTAAAAAGCTAGCTGCTAGCTGTTGCACAACGAATGATGAGTGAACGAATGATTGAAGTGGTGAAAGCCTATTTGTAGGCTAAGGTCCAAGGACAGGTGCTATGCATATGGGTGGCAAGGAAAGGTTTCGCATCGTTCAGTCTCCCTTGACTTGTCGACTATCGTCGTTACTTGGCCTTGGCGGATGACATGGATCCTAGAATTGATCTACAATGAGGTGCGGACATGTACGTGATGCTGATCAGTGATGATAGGTCCAAACGAAAACACACCGTTGTCTACACGTCTGGCCAGCAAGTCGTCACAAACTGACAAGAAATCTTGTTTGACGGTGCGGCCCCGGCCACCCGATGGAGAGAACGACAGGTGGCAGATATGTGTTGCTCATTGCGAAAGTTCTTGTCTTGGGACAAGTTGACAGTGACCTGTGACCAGTGTCAGCGAGCCCTTGAAATCAGGGTGATTGCAGCATGAATGAATCATGGTGACCGGCACTATCACGATTATTGTCCTAATATAAAAATCAGGCTAATCATAGTAATGGCAATGCAAGGGACATACTCCCATAGCCGGCATACATTCAGTCCCGTGACACTGAGTTTTGGAAAATGACCGCCGGAGTATCAAACTTTCAATCTGAGCTTCCAGTCTTCCTTCCGTCACTGCAGATCTGATTAATATTGCTTTGGGAGAAAAAGATTGCATTGCCACAATGATGTCATTGTCATGGCGTAGTATGGAGTACCGGTGACCGTCACTGGGTCTGTGTACCTGATTACACACTGCACGGCAACCCCACAGCTGCACTCCACACTCTGCAGCCAGTGACATCGTCATGCCATGCAGCTGGAAGGGAGCATTACCCGGCTTGGCCTGAGCAATCTTTGAAATCCGACCTCACAATGACACCGCAGGACCGGCGGAAGCAGATTTGGATTGGTCCGGTCATACCGTAGCCTTTCATGCTGTGTATGATGTGGAGGGTAGATGCATGACCTCCTCACCAGTAACACACATGTTGGTGGCCAAAAAGTTGGTCCGGCCATGGCCTGACCAACCGGACCGGTTCCGCCGGGCCTGCACCGGTGTTCGGAATGGCATGCCAGTGCTCCCATTGCAATTCTTGCACACCGAGCAAGTAGTAAGGTAAACCACAACCCGGGGGAAACACACATTCCAAGTCCTAGACATAGCGCTGCATTGCCATGTGACCGGAGTACATGTACTTCCTCTGGTTCAGTATAATTGCCGCAGTTCTATGAGCAAGTATATACATGTACGATAGCGACAATGAACTGGAGGAAGTAAGTACAGTACACCCTCCCGGCTTATCTGCACTTCCGTTATCCATGGCTCGCTTTCAACATCTGCTATTTGCTCATGCACATGGCATATGGATGGAGATGTAAAGCAGCCGATAAGCAATGCTTGCTGAGCCGACTGTCTGGCGTCTGCATACGTATTGTACCAGTGCTGATATGCCAACATGCTCAGTGTAGCGCAGTACTAGTATATATGGATCTCACTAATCCCCACATAATTGTTTTCACCAGGGAGTAGTATTGTACTACTCTCCTGGCTTTCACAGATGCCAAACACCGTTCTGTGGACCCTGACCAAAGGGTGTGTCCGTGTCGACGAGAGTCTACTGTCTGTACTACAGTTTTACAGTACCCTTAAACGTCTCTTCTTACCCGGAATATCTTCGATACGAATCATAAATGTACAATTGTTTTTTAATATGCTATACATGAGCACTGGGTGCAGAAATACCCCTGGTACACATCATAAAAAGTGATAATTATGATGCATGGCGGCAAATGAGCGGTCTTTTGTTACAGGCAAATCCGAGATTAGGGCAGTGACCGGTCCCTCCAAGGCACCCAGATACAATGACAGCATATCACAAGGCTGAGGACACACTGTACGACACAGTGTTCATGACCCCAGCTGGAGACTGATCGGCAGAGCCTCAGGGGCACGACTCCATGCGGTTCACATGGCTGCAAGACCGAGGCCCTGCCAACCGGTCTCTGGTAAAACATGTGGAGCAGGATATCAACACAACTGTTTCTCGTATCATAACATTCCAGTAGAGCATATCTGTAGTTCTAATAGCACTGAATAACAGAAACAAGGATGGAAATAGCCACTGGCAGGGGAGATCAACATTGAAACAACTCATTGGGGCACAGCAACTAATAAGCTGTGTATGTTGGCATAGAGACACACCGGGCCAGCCCAGTGCATCACACGTGCCAATACATCTACAAGTAAGTTGAAGCAATCAAGTACTTCAGCATGGTACTGCTCTCACACGAGATACAGCACTGGTACACATAGCACACATAGCCCACTGACTGTTACCATGTTACAAAAGCTTAGCAAGCATAACTGGTACGGCCGCGTGTGTGTGTGTGTGAGTGAGCAAGGTCGGATCACTTGACACGTGGTGAGTACTGTTGTGTGATATCTCCCCGTCTGTATAGTACAGTGTAGTGTCACTTCTGCAGCGGCACAGTGTTCACAAGGGCGAAATAGCGATGCGCATCGTGAGCTCATAGCACGGTGTACAGGATTCTGAATTTCTGAGTGAGCTTAATCACAGTCATGATGAAGCTGAACTGTGCTGGTACTGAGAGCCATAAGCAGCATCTAATGGCGCGTACTTGTGCCACATGGAGAAGAGCTACTTCAAAGGAGTCTCATAGTGGGGCACAGCATTGCCATAACACTGGTAACTACCCGCAGTGCCACTCAGCCGGTCGCAGTTGCCTTGAGAGCATTCTGACGCAGCTGATGCAGTTTCTCTACCCATCTCTCCTTCTTTAGCGCGTGGCTGACATCGAACTGCAGGAAAATACAACAAGAGAGACAGTTCTGTTGCCGAATGTGCTGCGGAAAACATAGTCCCTACCGTACCTGCATTTCTGTGAAAATCCGCTGAGGGTTCAGACTTATGGTTTGCCAGGGGATTAGGGCGCGTTCAGACTACCGAGAACCCTGTCAAACCATGAATGGTGCTACACTGCTACACTGTGAATGACATTCGCACTACTGGTAAACTAACGTTACATGTGCAGCTCTTACAACGAGAAGAGATTATCCCCTACTCAAAGCCTGAGAACCTTTTTACTGCCGGAATGCTGTATCCGCCACAGCAGTAAACTGTTCCGCCTGCAAAGGGCCTGTAACGCCACGTGATAATAAAATCACCTTGGAAACTTTCTCAATCCGTCACTTTTTATCCGTACTCCCCTTAGCCAGGGGAATTCTTGCGGGGAGGGGGGCTATCTTTTAACTTCTCAATCCAAGCAGTAGAAGGGTGCACGAGTCCATCACATCAAGTATGACCAGCAAGAATAGCACACGCCAACTGCGGAGAAATCCACCTTCCAACTCATTACCGCTGTGCTCGCACCAGCTTCACATACTTTCACTACAACAAAATTAAAAGTGAACTTTGGGTTTCCGTTTCTGTTGCTTCCTTCATAATCCCATGCATGATATGTAGAAAGTAGACAACAAGGTGGTACATGATCCACCACAAGCTATGCAACTAACTTGTGCTATGACAGCCTGCAAGCGCGTCCAAATATACGATATGCATGACGATGCAAATGGCATGCATGAATTCGGGAGTTGCTCTCCTATCTTTGCTTGTGGAGAGAGACATTTATTTGGGAGGGTATTCCATTAATCGCGGAACCAACAGCGCGCAGAAGCTTCGGCCAGTTGCGACTAATCGGATCCTGTTGTGAGTGTTGTCCATAGCCTATACGTGTGTAGGAATTGTTCAACTACTACGTAATGTAGAGGCCAGTTCTAGTAACAATGCAGTTAACTGAGGAGTACTTACCAGTTCACCCATAACTGACGTTAAGACTGCACCCTCGTCTTTCTTGTCTGACCAGAGAGATGAGTGCTCAGCAACAATCGATGTGACGGGTGCAGCCGATGTAGCCGCTCCACTGAACTTGGCTGCAGTGCTGTCTGATGTGCCAAAGATTGCTGCTTCATGCTTGAGCTCTGCACTGGCTGCTGATGCGCGCTATGATGTGGATCAGAACAAGACAGAAAATTGAACCAACATTTACATGTACAATAGGATTAAAGATGTTGTGACGTCGACACTAATCTGTGGAGAAAGTGGCTGCTCCAAATACTGGAACTCGTGCTTCCTGTCGACTGATGCGACACTTGACTGAGTCATGACTGCGCCTGGAGCACACGAGAAGACCATCGAACCTTCCACTCGGCAAGTCCACAAGAAAGCACCACTCCCTGCTCAATATAATTATAATGTTTCGGGAATTTAACCCCTCATCAGTTTAGCTTACTGGTAGAAGCTAATGAAAATTGTACTCCGCGAGCACTGCATTATGTAGTGCTCTCCGAGCCTAAACATCACTAGGGATGCCAACTTACAGACGCAGTTGTGAGTCAGTCAAGTGTTAAGTCAGTCGACAGGAAGCGCGAGCTCCAACATTCGGAGCAGCCACTTTCTTCACATTGGCAATGGGCCGTTGGAAATCGGAGGTTTGATCAGAGCATAAAGGGAACTAGAAAAAGATGCACGTAGCTACATTACCTTGGACTGAGCAGCAGCTGCAGCGGCATCTACACCAAGACGATTGGACACAAACGCCTTCTGAGAGAACTTGGGATTGTTTATGGCTTCAATAGTGGAATGGCGCTGTGCTGCTTCGAGAGCATCTGAAGGTGGCGGCACTGAACAAACCGGAAAGAAGAAAAAATACATTATTATATCATAGAAGCAATGCTTGTACGAAATAGAGGTTGCGACTTCGGCGATGATTTTGTTTAGGAATGGGTTTGCTCCCACACTGGATCTCGCGCTATTCCGCCGACGACTTGACACTTGACTGACCGTGTCAAGTCGTCGGCGGAATAGCGCGAGCTCCAGTGTGGGAGCAAACCCATTCCTAAGCAATGCTTGTGTTCAAAAACTTCTTCTGGCCACTGGACAATGAGTTTATGATACACAACTTCCTCTGGAAAAAAAGAAGGACTTGTGACTTCGATCAATCTGTCAGTTTCAGTGAATCAAGCTCTGAGGAATCGAGCGATAATGACTCCGAGTGAGACTCAACGGAGTAAATTTCTTTTGAATAATAGGGTACACACTTTAAAGAAGCATACCCACTCATTGTCTTGAGGTATTTTGTACTACTGAACCGATATCCTGGAGTACAGTAACTCCTTAGGATGTAAATAGAAGAAGACCCGAAGTTTTTGCTTCTGGAAAAAGTATCACACACAAAGAATACTCCTCAGATATCTTATACTAGCATCTAAACAATATGTACAAAGAACAATGAAAGCAAGAGAGAGAGAGAGAGAGAGAGAGAGAGAGAGAGAGAGAGAGAGAGAGAGAGAGAGAGAGAGAGAGAGAGAGAGAGAGAGAGGGAAGGGAGAGAGAGAGAAAGAGAGAGAGAGAGAGAGAGAGAGAGAGAGAGGAGAGAGGAGAGAGAGAAGGAGAGAGAGAGAGAGCGAGAGAAAGAGAGAGAGAAAGAGAGAGAGACACACACACACACACACACACACAATTTGGTGGATTAGGACAAAGAACATAGCTCAGACCTATCAATACATGTACACTAGCTGATAACTGATCACTTATCTACTCACCAGCAGACAGCACTTCTGGTGTTGGCTGAGGTTGCTCCAAAGCTCCCGATGTCACTCCACTGGCTACCTCTTCCAACAAAGTCTTTTCATCATCTCCATCACTGGCATCACCTCCAAACCTCTCCCACCGGACCTTATCACCATCACGGTAGTAGCGCTCTTCAAACTGTTCCCGCAGCGCATCGTCTGTCTTTTCTGCTTGCTTCAGTGCTGCCTTGCGCTGTTCGCGTAGTTTTTCTACTTGTTGCTTGGCAGAATTCGACTTCTTCTCAGTCTTGTAATCTGAGGAATGGCTTTTGTCATGTCTACGATTGACACAAGTGGTAAATAGTAAATACACACGAAAATCACACTACAATCATTTTTTTTACTTGGTCCGTTTCATCGCAATTGTCGCTTATCTATCGCAGCTAAGAACAGGAGTTATTTTATCGCTCTGTAAAATTTCTAAAACGCATAGTGAAGAACCATGATACAGGATTCCTCTCCGCCACAAGAAAAATAATTCAGCGATGGAATTTGATGAAGCAAGTCGAAGAAAGGAAGCAACGTTACAAAAAATGTACAAAAGAAAACAGCGACGGAGCGCGTTCTTGCACTCACGCTTTAGTTTATCCGACTCTGGCTCTGTATCACTCGAGCTGATGTCACTTGAGCTGACATTCCCTGGTGTGTTTAGCTGCTGGCGTAGAGTATCTCTTGCTTTCTCCGCTTGGCGATGGCAGCGATGGGAAAGGAACAGTCGTGACTGTCACTTTGGCACTTGGAGGAACGTGGGCAGCGTGACTGGTGTGTCACCACTGTGTGTTTCAACAATGTTTTTGAATCAGGCACACATCCCTCTCCAGACAGCTGTCATACGCTCTGCTGGATCCGCTGACCAAGACTCTTGTACTGCCGCTGCCAGGTCGGACAATGTCTTCTTTGTCACCATCTCGCCATCAGTTTGCAGGCTTGCAAAGAATGCACTTGCAGTTCTAACGTGGCGACTGAGCTGGCTGGCCTGGCCTTGACTGTCACGCTCTCCAAGTCAGGATGTCGATTTCCCCTGCTACAGTTCCAGTCTTCATGCTGCGCTTGACTTTTCGCTGCAGTGAATGTGTGTATTCGCTGCAGTGCATTCACTGCAGCGAAAAGTTCCCCACTTTCCCATCACAATCGTACGAATCGCGATGCCACTGGCGCTAGTCTCGATGTTTTTTTCTTTCTGGTCTCCTTTGATCTTGCCATCACAACCTCCCAAACGAATGTGAGTTAGATATCGAGATCGGACTGGGTTTTACCTGTCAAAAGGTGCGTGGGAGATAAGCGACAATTGCGATGAAACGGACCAAGTACAAAACTTTAGAATTGACAGTTGACAGTATGGTCAGACAATCACTTCATCGTCATGATAAAAAAACCGGTGCTACAAAATCCACTTTGACCAGAAGAATAGTTCTGACTTCATACGCCTACTAACTAGACAGGAGCACAAACAAACAAACACTAAATTAAAGGGGAAGGGCATCGATTTTTCGAGTAGGGTCCTGAAGAAAGACAATTTGATATCGGTTCGAATAGCATATCTCTCGCTTCCATACGATAAGCCAAACTTGCCAAATCGTCAATAGGGCTTGAAAGTGATGACGTCAAAACGGCCAGGGAATAGTAAGTTGACATCAGATTTCTATTTTTGGATCCACTAAGGTGTGACTTTGCTATTGCCTAAGTATGTGGGTGCATAGCAACCCACTCATGTCGCATGCAGGTGTGACTTTTATTTCGCCACCAGTTGTAACCCCGCCCCCAGTAGCCAAATCAGTCAGTTTCACTGGCTACATCACCATGCTGTGGGTAAGACCGCTTGAAATGTGCTTGGATCCATACAAAAACTGGATCCAAGTGGATCCAGTTTTTGAATTTTTGAAATTGTTGCTATGCTGTGACATAGCACTTTCAAGCCCTATTGTATGCTCACGTTGCCATAGCGACCAGCGCAGTGATGACGTATGAAAGGCTTAGCTCCTCCACAGAGAAGGTCGATCACTGCAGAAATTGGTCGTTTTCAATTGTCTTATTGTATTCACGATGTGAAAGAAGTGCTGTGTTCAATGTTGTTAGTGCCGTGAACTATTTATCGCCCTTCTCATGCATTTCCCTACACACTATAGGAAATGGTTTCCTCCAGGACAAGATGCTTGGAATTCGCCATCTCTCCTGAGACATTTTCAGCAAACTTTCAAACCTACGACATTATTTCATTCGTCAATCTCCACCACCCGTCGTCTCACCTGGCTTTAGAAGATGTTATGAGAGATAGGAAAGTCGCCAGGAAGCATCACATTCATCTTCAGGAAGTGGAAAGAGCAAACGGCATGGTCCTTGGTTGGGGGAAATGCTGAACGTCTGATTTGTCCCAACCAAGATTTCAGCATTTTGTTTGTCACTATTTTCGCTTGTCTGCTGCACTCCAGCTTTCTCCTGTCGGTGTCATGTCTCAGTACACAACCAAGAGGACTACTAACAAACAGTTCACTGCACTAACAGCATTGAACACAGCCCTTCTTTCACTTCGTGAATACAATAAACCAATTGAAAATGACCAAATTCTGCAGTGAGGTGGAGCTAAGCCTTTCGTACGTCATGACTGCGCTGGTCGCTATCGCAACGTGAGTATACAATTGGCGATTTGGCAAGTTTGGCTTATCGTATGGAAGCGAGAGATATGCCATTCGAACCGATATCAAATTGTCTTTCTTCTGGACCATACTCGAAAAATCGATGCACTTCCCCTTTAATACATTCTTCTAGAAAAACGAGTAAAATTCAAAGAAATGTTCTGACCTGTCTTTGCTCCTTGACCGCTTCCAATCTCTGCTACGGGACCTACGTGCTTCTCTCCTTCTGCTATTTGATCTCTTGCTTCTCTCCCTACTTCTTGATCGTCGCCTTTGCCTTGATCGACGAGATTCATGGTTGTCTGAACTTCTTTCACGACGATGGCGACGTTGATGGTCACTGGATGGCGAACGCGAACGGCGACGTGTCCGCCTACTTCTACTCCTGTCTTCCGATGAGGAAGAAGAATATTCGTCACTACTGCTAGAACACGATTCAGAACGTCGGTGGCGACCTCTGCGAGGGCTGGTGGACCGGGATCTTCTTCTTCGTCCCATTTTTACTCTTACTGTCTTCGATTCTTTTTGAAATCAAATAATTTAAAATTATTTGTTTCCACATGCATTAATTTTGCACATTCTGGATTTCTGACGTCAACGGCGCATTGTCTATGACGAAATCGACTTTGATTGGACGAATCCAAAGCACGAAAATTCGAAATTAGACTTTGGGCCGTTTGGCATTCGTTGCAGGCATGGTCACAAGGCAGCAAGAAAACGTGCAAGACAAGAGAAAAGGCAGTATTCCTCCTGGTTCTGGTTCAATGTTGTGGTCTCTTTTCAATATTCCTCTCTTCGTTTCAAAATGAGTTATCCAAAGACTCCCTCTAAGTCTGCTTCCCACAAGACTCCGCACAAGACTCCTCGGAGGCCCAATGCCGCGCGCGAAGAAGTGCAGGCAAGTCATTTGTGGTGTTTGACTGGAGGCGAACAATCCGTGAACATGAGGAGTTGGTCCTGTGTACTTGTCTTCAGGTGTTTGGTCGCTTGAGGCCTCTCCGCAGCTCTGAAAATGGACCATGCGTGCGTGTTGTCGGCAAGACTGATATGGTTCTGGTTGCGCCAGAGGTATGTATTCGTTGTGGCGAAAATCTACTCTAGTTCTTGACCGGTCGGCTAAATGTTAGTTGCCTTTATTCTTGTGTGCTCATTTCTAGGGCTCGTCTCAGTATGGCCGGAAAGCACAGGTGAGCGTGCACTGTCTCTCTGGGGGCGTTGCATGTTTCTTCAGCAGCTCCAATTATGCTGTATTATGCGAGTAGAGGAGCGGTCTATGTGATCATGTTAGTCTTAGTAATACAGTGTAGTACAAAGAACCGTACATGTCAGTCATGTAGTACATTGCCGACATAGACCGACTGTACGTACATGTACACGCACTCATTGCCAAAGCATGGTTATCTTATCTGACTGCGTTTGTCGTCCAGTGAGTACTATAATACAGTCAAATCTGTCGTAAGCGACCGCCCCTTGGTGCAAGAAAAAGCGGTCGCTTACGGCAGGTGGTCTCCTACGGCAGATGTATGGTAAATCCGGCATACCAGGTATATGCTTCCATGTACTCAAATCGACGAGAATAATGTGATTTTTAATATCATTTTTATTGGATATTCAACGACGACCATACCCGTATAGTACGCGTATGCGATATGGCAGTAGATCGACACTGCCTGGACTTGAGAGCTACAGCACAGCCTCAGTACAGGCTAGGCGCCAGTCGATCGCACTTGCAAGACAGCGCATTTTCACACTTTGCAGTTGACAGCGCACTGGCAAGTACAGTTTCGCACCTTACTGACGCACCTTACTGAACCTGGGTCGCGGTCGCTTACAGCAGATTTGAATGCAGCCACCGTGCATGAAATCGCGGTCGCTGGTCGCGCACAGCAGATGGTCGCTCTGGACAGATCAGTTTGTATGTGAAACCGTCGGTGCACGGAAAATCGGTCGCTAACGGTAGATGGTCGCCTACAGCAGAGGTCGCTAACGGCAGATTTGACTGTATGTGCTTCGTATGCCCTCCTTTCTGTGTGCAGCAGCATCAGCATTCATTTCAGCGTGCATTCGGCGCTGGCTCGTCACAGAAAGAAGTGTTTGAGGAGATTGGCTTGCCTCTAGTCCAGGACTTGCTAAACACCAAGAACGGTGAGCATCGGTCCTACCCGGGTGCATGTATTATGCTTGTTGGTTAAGGCAAATCCTTGCTACTCTACTATTCTGCCTTTGTTGTGCACGTGCGTGCTTTTTACTTTCTTTTCTTTTTTTGGACAGGTCTTCTTTTTGCCTACGGTATCACTGGCTCTGGTAAAACACATACTATGACGGGCGAGCCGCAGGATCCCGGAATTCTACCGCGGTGCCTTGACGTTATCTTCAACAGCATCCAGCATTTGCAGGCCAAGAAATATGTAAGAACATTGGTCATGACCAGATGTTCCGCTGTCACAAGTGCCATTTTGATTCCCAGCACAAGGACTACAGTGACACTTCAGTATAAAGTACATGTACCCTGGACATATACTCTGGGATTGAAACACGATTTGTGAGAACCCGGCCTTATGCTATACCGGTCCTTTGCCTTTGGATATCGTACATTACCTCAGCTATAAAGTACTTGCTTGTTTGGCTTTTGGTACCGTACGTTATGCTGAAGCTTGACTGTAATCCAGTGTCCTATTCCGCCCATAGTTATTGCATGTTTACAAGAAACGGAAAGATTTGTTTCAGCCGACACACCCACCCACCGCATTGACCGCATGCATCTCGTGTACAGGTAGAGGTCGGCTATAGGGTTTGCGGTTATAGTAATATACCCGTTATCATGTTACCATCTTCAAAATTTAAAAGCAAAAATATCTTTTCAACTCTTAACTAAACCGGTTATAAGAGTAATCTGCAGCGTGGTCATAGAGTAGATGCAGCTGTTATTTTGTACTTTACAAGTCCCGGTATGGTATTTACATGTATAATGCACATCTGTTTGTGTATGTGATCATGACTAAGTCGTAAAGTTATCACTTACATACTTTGAAGTACTACCCTGTCCAATTGCATGTAGTGATAATCGTCTATAATGATCAAATTTCACTTCTTCAAAAAACTACGCTATAAGTATAACAGATTTCTACCTGTACTGTACTAGACACTGCACAGGTTCAACCGGTTTCTAAACTAAGCAGAGGCCCCCAACTCGCTCCCAGACAGAATCTTTTCATTCTGCAATTATAACTGCGGACGACTTCTTACCGAACCTAAGTCCTGTGAAGCTCATGGATTTGGCAATCACCGATGGAGAATTTGTTGATTTAAACTAACATTATCAGTTTATGACCTGTGTTTGGGTTTTCTCTGTGCTGCTAGACTTTCATGTCCAATGGCAAGAACTCGTTTGAAATCAATACAGAGGCGCAAGCCGAAAGAGAGCGCAGGCGTCTGTATCCCGGCCGGAACAGGCGGCGGTAAGTAGCGGCAACACATTCCTGCGTATTGTCTGCTGGTCTTTTCTCCTTATCACAGCTCATGTGCGTTCTTTTGGCAGAATCTGAGTGTGCCTACTCTCGTAATATTGAGAGGCCGTGCACACACCCTGGAATCGTGTAGTGATTCTGGTAACGTGTCTCTGTAAATGAGGACGCGTTGGCCAATGGTACTGCACTTAGGGTTTAGGACGAGTACGAGTAATGGGGTGTGATGACGTAGCAGACACTGCTTATCACTGCTTAGTACATATAGATGTTAGGAGGGGTGAGTGAGAAGTGAACCTCCAGGTTGGTTAGCGCTGTCGAGCTGTGCTCAAGCTCCTGCACTGTCATGCCATTGAATGTTTCAGTTCTCCTGGTCAGTTTTGTGCTAAATTATGCACATCTCAGGCTGACTATTCAAGATCTAGTTTAGCTGGTGGACTCTTAACCCTCTAAGTGCCACGGTCAACGAAAAGAGCCCCTGGCTTGTCACCTGTCAAGTGCCACGGCTGCCGAAATGAGCCCTGTGTACTTCTAGTTTACAGTGCCACGGGCGACGTAGAGAGTCCGACACACTTCTGTGTGGGAATGCCAAGGCTCTATGAAGAGCCCGACGGAGGGGTATTTTTGGACGTGTCCTACAGTACCAGAGGTCTGTAGCTCCGTCCCACGCTTTTGACCTGGCGTTATCCGTGGGTGGAGGTATCTAGTTCAATAGAAAAAACCGGGTGTTCGTATCTATAAAAAGCGAGAAACGCTCGTTCAAAACTCAAACACTTTCGAGTGACAATGGCGACTCAAGGCGCAGCGCGAGAGGTAGAGATGACACAGGAGGAAGTTGACGGTGAAATCCACAGAATCTTTGACGGTGAGTCTGATGAGTCTGAGTTCGAAGGCTTCGATGTCGGCAGTAGCGAAGATGACGATAGCGACCTTCAAGGAAGCGACGAAGACGACGAAGAACAACCGCGAGTGTGGAACTGGCGGACCGTCACGGCTGACAACGACACCGCGGATGCGAGTGCATGGCTGCCGGGAGTAACTCGCCAACGTGGGCCAACGGCACAGGCCGATGAAAACATCTCGCCGGCAGACTGTTTCGCTATGATGTTCACGGATGAAGCCGTGGACATAGCCGTCACGCAAACAAATCTGTATGCGCAGCGAAAACTGGAAGCCCTCGGCGCTCACTTTCCAAGCTCCCGGATGCGCAAGTGGCATGACATCTCGTCACGCGAGATGAAAGTGTTTTTCGTACTCTTGCTCGCCATGAGCATCGTGGAGCAACCAGCGCTGGCAGACCATTGGACGACGGACTGGCTCTACCAGACACCCGGATTTGCCAAGGTTATGTCCAGGAATCGTTTCCAACTGATCCTGTCGTGCCTTCATTTCGTGGATAACACAACCATCGAGTATGACGAGCACGGCAGGTATCGAGACCCTCTCGCCAAGATTCGTAAATTCCTGGACATAATCGTCAAGCGCTTCAGACTGTCCTACTACCCTAAGAGGGATGTGTCTGTGGATGAGCAAATGATTGCGTACAAGGGTCGCCTATCATTCAAACAATATATGCCGGCCAAACCGACCAAGTGGGGCGTGAAAGCATTCGTCCTTGCGGAGCCGGGTACGGGATACATATACGAGTGGACTCTGTACACCGGCAAGGATATGGCCGAGGGCCGAGACGTAGCCATGGCCGACACATCGAAGGGCAGTCAGATAGTGGCGAAATTGGTTCGACACCTCGGCCAAGGGCACGTAGTGTACATGGACAATTATTATTCGTCACCTACCTTATTTCAGTGGCTGTCGTCGCGCCGTGGAATGGGAGCTGTCGGCACAGTGAGAGTCAATCGGAAAGGGCTTCCACCAGCATGTAAGGACAAGAAAAAGAAGGGCACGCCGCCGAGATTCTGGAGAGATGAAACAGTTCTCACATGCTCCTGGCCGGACAAGAAGCAAGTGACAGTTCTCTCGACGATTCACTCTTGTGAAGTTGTCGATGTAGATATTCGCGACCGGCGTGCGCCTCAAGGAGTTCGGTCCGTGAAAAAGCCATCATGCATCGCCAGCTACAACAGTTTGATGGGCGGCGTGGACGAGGCGGATCAGATGCTGAGCTACTACGCATTCCCGCATCGTCACCGCCGTTGGTACCTGATCCTTTTCCATCAGCTGCTGGAAATTTCGGTGCACAACGCAAAAATAATCTACAACGCAATGACAGGCAAAGACCTTGACGGAAAGGAATTCCACAAGGCGCTCATCGCTTCCCTGTTCACTGAAACACAGTGGCCGATTGGTGAACCACGTCGCAGATCTGTACCAGCAACTACTGACGATGTGGACACAGCTCGGCTAACTGAGCGACACTTTTGTACGCAGCTAGCTGTTGAAGGGAAGCGAGACTGCGTTGTGTGCAGCAGACGACCGGACCACCGGAAGCAAACTAGCTGGCAGTGCGTGCAGTGCGTACGCATGATGTGTCCCGGTGAATGCTTCCAGCGCTTTCACACCCTGCACGACTACAGAGTACGGTACGCGGACTAGTGCATAACCTTGCGCTACTGCTGTGAAATTTAGCAACTATCTCCATACCACAAGCAGTTTTTGCTACGTTGTACCGCTGCTGCAAACTAAGTTTGTGTATGTGCGCATTTCCGTCTTGCTGACTTATTTTCACTTTGACACTGCTGCATTCATTGGCATTACTATTTTTCTGCATGCTGAGCTCTGAAACATGTTGCTGATGATATTCTGAACATATCATGTATACATTATCTTTGAGTAGTAGCAATATATCACCATCACTTGCCGTCCTGAAGTTTATAACTGTAAAATAGCACAATTGCAAAAATCTGCGTGGCACTGAGGGAAGGGTGAGAACCAGCTGACCGTGGCATTCAGAAAGTACTCCTGCTCAGCTGATCGTGGCACTTGACAGGAAAATCTTGTCAACCACTTATGGCACTTAAAGGGTTAACACATAACTATTTCCCCCGTGTTTTCCTCTCTTCCTCTATATACCGCCTTGGCTCACCATCTTAGTTCCTAGAATATAAAGAGTCATATGTCTAGGAGATTGTCGAGTGGTATGTGTCTTGTAGGCACTCGCACTCTTCTTCATCTTCTACTTTATGACCCCCTGAGCTGTGAATTTGTGCAGCATTTCTGCTGTTGCTATTTCTCTCACTTTGATTGACTTCTTCACCTCCGCATTGCCAGCACTTCAAATTATAAAACAAGTTGCTAGCTCTGCCAGGACTTTCGTTTACAGAGAACGGTGTAGTGGTGGCAGAGTGTGCTGTTGCCAGTTGGGTACTATTCTCCAAAACACTGTTGTTGAACAGATCCCGTGTGTTCGACTGTGTGCTGTTTTCTACTTTCTCACTTCCCGCAGCCACGAGGAGACTAGTGTTGCAGACACTGTTCGTATTCCTGATTCAATTGTATTCGATGATGTAAGTTCAGCTGTAGTTTTGGAAAGGTTTCTTCATAATGCAGGGGTGGATTAACGTTTCAGAACGCATAGTTCTCTGGGTGCTGCGGCGAATGGTTGTAGTTCCAAGGAGCTGTGTGGTTTGATTCAAGAAAGTAAAGAACAGTACAATAGGAAACCGAAGTTGTGTTTGAAGCATTGAAGATGATACTAGTATGCATGTTACATTTGATATTCTATTTTTCGTTAGTATTCACTGATTCCATTCATGATTTGACCACAGCTTACCACCGACTTAGGCACCCTCCCTATCCACCCTGTCGTAATCTACTGCACTCCGTCAAGGCCACTGGTTCCCTCAATTTGTGTATATTCTGTATATACATGTGTGTGTGTGTGTGTGTGTGTGTGTGTGTGTGTGTGTGGACGTGTGTGTGTACGTGTGTGCGTGTGTGTGTGTGTGTGTTTTGTTCTTGACACCAGGTTGATCCCGATTCTGTGTACGGTGTTGTGGTGTCATTTGTGGAGATTTTCAATGATTACGTCTTCGATCTGCTGGAAGATGCAAAACCAGATAAAGACATGCGTGATAAGTAAGTGCGTTCACAACATCCTAGCTCGATTTTCCAACCCCATTGATGGAAGCAATGAGAGTTTATGCACAAAGCTGTACCTGAAGCTTGTACACTGACCAAATGTCAAAAGGGATGAGGTCTGGTGAACTTGCAACCGGTTCTGCATTGCAGCACGGCCTTGTATGATCATGCTACGATACAGTCGTGGTCCTTTCCTGATCCATACCCACAGTTGCATACTCCTAGTTGTGGACTCTTGTTTTGATGTACTCCTGACCCTCGCCCATTCCTATGTTTGTGCTATTCACCGCTCCAGGGGCCCGCAAAGTAAGAGAATGCGTGAAGACACAGGGCGGCACCAAATGTACGTCAGTGACGTGACCGAAGTACCCGTAACATCTACGGAAGAAGCATACGAACAGCTTGTCAAGGGTATGTGACCTGCTGTTGATACCGGTACAAGGGTATGTGACCTGCTGTTGATCACGGAGGGCCCCGCAATGTTTTCACCGTCCTTGAAATGTTCCAGTGACACTTTTTCCGATGGCAGTAATGGAACGTACAGGGGCGTGGCTGGTCCCCCGTTTAGCGGGGTGCAAGGCTGCATATGTGTAGGATGGCTGGTGCATGTCACTCATGTCACTCTTATCTTCGCACTGTTATTGACTGATCAGGCCACGCTACTTGTCCATGGGGCAGGTGTTTCCTTCATGCATTGATCTCCATCGGACATGGATGTTCCTTAAATCCATCATATTATGTACATGCCTACGTGTTTCTCATCTTGGTTTTGAACCTGTTGTGTGTGTGTGTGTGTGTGTGTGTGTGTGTGTGTGTGCCGCTGCACTTTAGGTCAGAAAAAGCGTCGCGTGGCGCATACTCAGCTGAACCATGAATCCAGCCGCAGTCACAGTATCTTCAACATTCGTCTTATCCGTGCGCCTCTGGATGAGGCAGGAAAATCCGTTTTGTTGGTACGTCGCTACGCTTTGGTCACAGCACATTTGGGACGTCCAGTTCGAGCCTAAATGGGGCTGGCTTTTTCAGCTCACTGACATATTGCGTCCCTAAGTGTGAAATGGGATGCGGCCTACAAAGTTATTATAGAGCAAAGTTTGATGTTCTGGTCTGGTCTGGTCTGGTACGAGGGAAACATAATGCAGTGAATGGGATTTCTGGTCTTTGACAGCCAATTTGGGAGTGGGTCTGATCTACTTACCTCCCACTGATTCAGGAGCTGCCCCTTGATGGGTGGTGGTGTTTCTATGGATGTAGAAAACTCAGTCTGCCTAGGTCCCATGCCAACCGTGAGTGTTTCTAGTTCGATGATTTGTTGCAGTTATCTTCTACGGTAAAGCAGAAATACTCACCCGGAATCAATGTCATCCTGTCCAAAGACTGAAGTTAACTCCTGACTGACGACGATTTGCCAAGCCCTTCAATAAGTTCATGGACGAAATGGATTGAGCTGCCATTCTTCAAAGTTGGACAAAACTGATTATCTGCTTGTTCCATACGTGCTGGCCCATTTGTGTGTATTGTGTATTACCCATTGCAGAATGCCGACTACCTCCGGGTTAGCCAGCTTTCTCTGGTGGACTTGGCAGGGTCAGAACGTGCTGTCCGCACGCAGAACGTCGGTGAACGCTTGCGTGAAGCTGGTAGGTGTTTGTCTGCTCGTTGTATAATGTAGCTACTTATCCACTCGGTCCCTGTGTGTACAAGTCTACATGCTTGCATGTGCGTGCATGTGTGCATCTGCTCGTCCACAAATACGCACATACATGCACACATAATTTGACGCAAGAAATTCGTTTCCTTGGAGGTTTTAAGTCTGCATACCTCAAGTGGAGACTGAGCACGGTAATTATGTGCAGGTACATGTATGGCTCTGACAAAAGAACAAGACAACTACTGTACATATCACAGTGTACCAACATCAACATGTGCAGCATGTCGATGCAAGCATGTGTAGCAATGACCGAACACAGCGGGTGACTGCCTCCCCCATTCAGTGCCATTTTTCATCACGATGATATATCTACACAGCCGTCGCTCACGCTGAACTTCACTGTGCTGAACAACTCCTTGGTGCCACACATGCTCTGGCTAGCATTCGCCCATGCCGCAATGTGTGTTCCTTCTGCTGCTGCTGCTGTTGTCTGTGTTAGGGAATATCAACCAGTCTCTGATGGTACTGAGAACGTGTTTAGAGTGTTTACGAGATAATCAGAACAAACCTCCCGAGCAACAGAAGGTTAGTGATTTAGTGCTATCCTAGGCTAAGCCGTCATGAAGGGATTGTCTCAAGGCGATCTTCCGATTTCTTCAGTTATGTTAGACCGGTGTTTGTGTTGGCACGAATGCTAAATGCACCAGTAAGCAGCATGTTAACATGGCAGAACTTGTTATGTAAAATACCTCTTTGTTGACATTACCATGGACACTGACCTATTCATGAGATTGGTGGTACTTGGACCCCCGGCACATCATGCTAATACCGTATATTCTCTATTATAAGCGCCGTGCTTATATTTTTTCAACACCCCTCTACCCCGCGCTTATATTAGAGACTGCGCTTATATTTTTTCAACCAATACATCCATACAGGTCGAGAAGAAATACATGCTAGATATCATGCATGCAGCATTGATTTCCACCAAGACTGTGCTAATAATAGAGACTGTGCTTATAATGTTTCGAAAGGTGCTCACAGTGTGCTAGTATTAGAGACTGTGCTAGTAATGGAGACCTGTGCTTATAATAGAGAATATACGGTATGTCCTCTGAATGCATAAGTTGTTAGTTTCTGATTTCATGTGGCCCACAGGCATGTGACCATCAGGAAAGTGTTTCTGATCTCCTGAATAATAGTCTCCCTCGGTTTAGCCATACTAAGCAGTGTTGTTATGTGTTGGTTCTCATTGACTTTCTAGATCGTGCCATACAGAGATTCCAAGATAACCCAGCTCTTCAAGAACTTCTTCGAGGGAGATGGCAAGGTAGGGGTTTCTGCTGTTGGCTGAGGTTTATGTAGGGACACATTTATCTATGGACCTGGATTGTCACCCACATGGATGTATAGTCATGGTGTGGCCATGTCTCAGTTGTGCTCGTTTCTGTTCTGTGCACATGCCATGTTGAATGTATGTGTGCATGTGTATGTGTGTGTGCACGTGTGTGTGTGTGTGTGTGTGTGTGTGTGTGTGTGTGTGTGTGTGTGTGTGTGTGTGTGCAGGTCCGCATGATCATCTGCTGCAGTTCGTCCAACTCTGACTTTGATGAGATGCTGGTAAGCAATAGTGTGCATTGCGTCATGTGTGCTGCTATCCTCTGTGTGCTATCCTCTGTGTTGCCTTTGTCTGGGGCAACATCTGTGGAACGGATTTGGGCGTTGTGTGAAAAGGCACAACATGCGTGTTGGGGAGGGGGTAGGCAGATTCAAGTTTAGGGATACTGAAAATTGCGTGAGGAGTATGTATGTGTGCGGATAGATCCTGAGAGAAAGTTGTGCTGATATCACTGGCTGGAACGGGCATTTGGGGACACTTGTGATACGTACATGTACAGTTGCGCTCGGTGAAATCCAACCCTGAGTGCATATTTGGCGCCCTCAACTTGCACGGCCTGAAAGTGGAATGAATGCGGCTGGACGTACACATACAATGATGTAATCAGAACTGGTCCACGGTGCCAGCTTTGCACTTTGGGTCGGATTTCACCGAGCGCAGCTGTAGTTGGGAGTCCCATGCAGGCGTTGCGGAACTTGCAAGCACGAAAATGGCACCCGCTCTGATTCATAGAGGTTGCAAATCGGCGGATGTGAGCTGGGTTTATGCTGATTCCGGGTAGAGCATTTGCTGGCGAACTGGGGTGTTTTCACGAGCACTTGACCGGTGATGCATCGGGTAGTGCAGTGTGACGATGACATTGTCAGGCCAGCCATTGTGTGTGCGTGTGAGCAAGTGTGCATCACACACCTCATTGCACCCACACATGACCAGTCACTGGTAGTATATAGAGGCTATGTACTGCATAACTGGTAAGTGCTTGAGGGCACTGACTGCCCTTTTGCGTTGAGGGTCGCACCTTGAACAGGTGATGAGAGCTTAAAAGTTACTGTATACTGTAAGACATGTATATATAACGAGGAAGCAAATCTAACGTTTTAACGGATGACATTTCTTCGTTATAATAAGATCCGTTGAGGCCGTACTGCTTCATATATGCTGTGTGTGGACATGGCAGAATACTGCAAGATCGTTAAAGGGGAAGTATACCCTAAAATCAAATTTTCACCAGTTGTAGTCTTCTGGGTGCTGAGTCGAATGGTCTTGGTCCGAGGAAGCTGCGATGCTCCCTTCCTACTTGAATCCCAATCGAACTCGCGCACTTCCACCGAAACTGGGTGACTGCGCCCTACGAGATGGGGATTTGTATGCAAAATGTCACTAAAAGCGCCATTCCGTTCTTATAAAAGCACGGATGACCGCGATTGGCCCATATGTTGTAGTCTTTTGGACGCTGAGTCGACTGGTTTTGGTCCGAAAAGGCTGCGATGCAGCGTTTCTCCTTTATTCCCAATCGAACATGGTTGAACAAGCGGTCACGTGCTCCTGGGTGCCCAAATCACCTGGTCACCGCCCCAGCAGGCGACAACTTTCACACCAAGGTTCAACTCGAGTTCAACTCGAGTGACAGGAGTGCACCCAAAAAAGGTCAAACAGGCTAGTATTAGTAGTAAGTTGTACCCTGCAGGCACGGTGACCAGGTGACTGGTGTACGCAGGAGCACGTGACCGCTTGTTCAACCATGTTCGATTGGGAATAAAGGAGGAACGCTGCATCGCAGCCTTTTCGGACCAAAACCAGTCGACTCAGCGTCCAAAAGACTACAACATATGGGCCAATCGCGGTCATCCGTGCTTTTATAAGAACGAAATGGCGCTTTTAGTGACATTTTGCATACAAATCCCCATCTCGTAGGGCGCAGTCACCCAGTTTCGGTGGAAGTGCGCGAGTTCGATTGGGATTCAAGTAGGAAGGGAGCGTCTCAGCTTCCTCGGACCAAGACCATTCGACTCAGCACCCCGAAGACTACAACTGGTGAAAATTTGATTTTAGGGTATACTTCCCCTTTAAAGGGGAAGTTAAGGCAAAAATTAAAATTTCACCAGTTGTAGTCTTCGGGGTGCTGAGTCGAATGGTCTTGGTCCGAGAAAGCTGCGACGCTCCCTTCCTACTTGAATCCCAATCGAACTCGCGCACTTCCACCGAAACTGGGTGACTGCGCCCTACGAGATGGGGATTTGTATGCAAAATGTCACTAAAAGGGCCATTTCGTTCTTATAAAAGCACGGATGACCGCGATTGGCCCATATGTTGTAGTCTTTTGGACGCTGAGTCGACTGGTTTTGGTCCGAAAAGGCTGCGATGCAGCGTTCCTCCTTTATTCCCAATCGAACATGGTTGAAGAAGCGGTCACGTGCTCCTGGGTGCCAAAATCACCTGGTCACCACGCCAGCTGGCGACAACTTTCACACCAAGGTTCAACTTGAGTGACAGGACTGCACCCAAAAAAGGTCAAAACAGGCTGTAAGTTGTACCCTGCAGGCACGGTGACCAGGTGACTGGTGTACGCAGGAGCACGTGACCGCTTGTTCTACCATGTTCGATTGGGAATTAGGGGCGAACGCTGCATCGCAGCCTTTTCGGACCAAAACCAGTCGACTCAGCGACCAAAAGACTATAACATATGGGCCAATCGCGGTGATCCGTGCTTTTATAAGAACGAAATGGCCCTTTTAGTGACATTTTGCATACAAATCCCCATCTAGTAGGGCGCAGTCACCCAGTTTCGGTGGAAGTGCGCGAGTTCGATTGGGATTCAAGTAGGAAGGGAGCGTCTCAGCTTTCTCGGACCAAGACCATTCGACTCAGCACCCCGAAGACTACAACTGGTGAAATTTTAATTTTTGCCTTAACTTCCCCTTTAACATATCTTCTCGTTAACCTATGAATTTTGGACAATCGTTAAATTTGCGACTCGTTATAATAACATGTCTTACAGTATCACCTTATTTTCGGTGTTGTAAAATTTCGGTAAAAGCCAACCCCTGACCTTTCGGTGTAAGGATAAATTCGATATGCATGGTACCAAAAAAAAAGGCTCTTGCACTACCGTAATATCTCCGGCTAGCTGGCTAGGCTCCACATGTACATGTATGTATAATTATGTAGATATTGTACTATACCAGTAGACAAGTTGATTTTTTTAATTGGACAGTGATTTTCATGATTTTTTTACATATTTTTGGTATTTCGGAAAATTTAGGTGTAATGTTAAATTAGGTGATCCAAGACGAGTACCGAAGTTACCGAAATTTAAATTATACCGAAATAAAGGTGTTATACAGTATGCCCAGAATAATGTACCATATTTCTGTTTTATGTCAATTTGGAGTTACCTGTGCTGGTCTGTGCATTTGTTCTTTTTTGTGTGTGTACTGCAGCATGTGATGAAGTTTGCCGAGGTTACTCAGGAGGTCACCGTTGCAAGGAGTCAGGCAGTCAAGTAAGGAAATGGGTTTGGTCAAGTTTTCTGACTTTCAATGCTTTTTGAAAGTCTTGGCTTCGTCGGCGACACGGCAAACACTAAACTTGGATAAACCTAGGGTATTCCTCTTTCCTTTTTTGTTGTTGTTGCTTTGTCTTCTTCGCTATTGGTCAAATATACCCTGGTTGTGTGTGTGTGTGTGTGTGTGTGTGTGTGTGTGTGTGTGTGCGTGTGCGTGTGCGTGTGCTTGGATGTGTGTGTGTGCGTGTGCTTGGATGTGTGCCCAATGGCTTGACTTGATCAGGTTCGACATACCGGGACTGGCTGCTGGCAGGCGGCAGAGTAAGTTCTTAGACCCTAATTGTCAAGGATTTCTGCTTAGAGATTTCACTCTGTTCCTCGATACAGCTCTTGGCCCCTTGTTGGATACCCTATTGGCAAAGTCTTGGACTGATAGCCACTATTAAAATATGTGTTTGAGTTCAGTCATTTTGCTGTTGAGTGTACTTATCGCTCTGTTCCGGAGTACGTGCAAGGGTGGTGGCACCACACTGCTCGCTGGTCTGTGGTTCTGCTCTTGGCTCCTTGTGACCCTGTCTACTAGTGTACACCTGAGCCACTATGTACAGCACTGTACTGCACTGCACTGTACTGTACTGCATTGGCAGCAAACATTGGGACTTTTGGGCACTAAATATACGTGTTCATGTGGAGTCATTTTTTGCTGTTGTGTGTTTCTTGTCTGTTTGCTTGCTGCTCGGCAGTCAACAACGCTCTTGAGGCTATGGCAGGTAAATTTCATGTTTTCATCAAATATAAGTTTCCGTGCATGGCACGGTAAGTGGAGTTAGCAACACACCAACATCCTTGCCATAAGCAACACTTGTACATGCATAACATGCACGCACTCCGAATTCCCGCGTTTCCGCACGGGACTGTGCGGAGCATGCGCATTACTCCAATTCGCCATGCTGTTGTTTCTTGCTCTTCGCTTTGCTGTGCTGACGGTCAAATTGTTTGACTATCGCGGCCAGTTTCTGATCAATATCCGATCAACCATGTCTCTGTCAGTGAGCGATGTCCAGCCAAAACGCTCCGTTTGCTTTGCTGCGCCGACGCAGTGACGGTCGAATTGTTTGACAATCGCGGCCAGTTTCTGATCAATATCCGATCAACCATGTCTCTGTCAGTGAGCGACGTCCAGCCATAACGCTCTTTGCTTTGCTGCGTTGACGGTCAAATTGTTTGACAATCGCAGCCAGTTTCTGATCAATATCCGATCAACCATGTCTCTGTCAGTGAGCGATGTCCAGCCAAAATGCGCTCTGCTGAGCTGCGAAACGCACTGGCATCCCGCAATTATTTAGACCCGACAGGAACAAAACCTACTCCGCGGACTCACCTGCTCGAGTTGAAGTTGGCTCCAGACTACCGTACGCGAGGACTTGGCCGCTCCGGCAGCGGAGCAGAACCTAGCCGAGGCAACTGCAGCCCCATCCCTGGCCTGGGAGACTTTAGTCGGGAGGAGGTTCGCGACGCATGGAGCACGTATTGTGCGACTTACGCAGCAGCCCACCCCTCCAGGGCCCCCGGAGCTGTTTTCGCACCAGCCCATAATCTTGAAGATGGCTCGGAAATTTAGGTCCCTGATGCTGAGCTCTCCTCTCTAAAGCTGACACGAAGTATGCCTGGCGGCTTTGGCCTGTTTCCCCTCATGTCTGGCCCCGGCTTGGCATTTTTGGGAAGGTTCGTACCATGTAGATAAGGCACCACCATTTGGCCTTAGATCCTCCCCCTTCCGTTCAACAGACCGGCTGATGTGGACTCTCAGCCCAACGGCGACTCTGCAATGATCCTGCTAAGTCTCTTACTCGTCTTCGAGTACAGCGCTTCCGGACTCTCAGCCCATCTACCGACGCAGTGCTGACACACCCTGCACAGTCCACCCTCCAGCAGTTGACGACGCAACCATGGACCTCATCCGCCAGGGCCTGGCGGCCAGTTCCAGCATAACTTGCGCTTCGCTGCCGCGCTCCGAACACTTGTCGCCCTGCGCCAGGGCAAGCCACACTCAGGGACTGATCAGTGCCGGCAGCATTGTTCCAGATCCTGTACTTTGAGTGCATTGCCCACTGTGCTAATGGCTAGCCGCATTGGACGGCACTCACATCAATTGCAGTGTAATAGTAATGCAGATAAATCCTGTTTGGGTCAGGTTGTCAGCGCTGCCGGACTCGCATCCCAACTGCCGAAGTGGTGCCGACACAACCAGCGCAGTCCACCCTCCAGCAGTTGACGACGCAACCATGGACCTCATCCGCCAGGGCCTGGCGGACAGCTCCAGCATGGCATGCGCTTCGCCGCAGCACTCCGAACGCTTGTCGCCCTGCGCCAGGGCAAGCCAACCTCAGGGACTGATCAGTGCCGGCAGCATTGTTCCAGATCCTGTACTTCGAGCACATCGCCCACTATGCTAATGGGCAGCCGCATTGGACGGCACTCACATAAATTGCAGTGTAATAGTAATGCAGATAAATCCTGTCTGGGTCCGGTTGTCAGCGCGTCTGGACTTGCAGCCCAACTGCCAAAGCGGTGCCGGCACAACCAGCGCAGTCCACCCTTCAGCAGTTGATGACGCAACCATGGACCTCATCCGCCAGGGCCTGGCGGGCAGCTCCAGCACAACATACGCTTCGCTGCAGCGCTCCGAACGCTTGTCACCCCGCACTAGGGCAAGCCATACCCAGTGACTGATCAGTGCCAGCAGCATTGTTCCATATCCGGTACGTTGAGCGCATTGCCCACTATGCTAATGGGCAGCCGCATTGGACGGCACTCACATCAATTGTAGTGTAATAGTAATGTAGATAAATCCTGTTTGGGTCAGGTTGTCGACGCTTCTGGACTCGCAGCCCAACTGCCGACGCAGTGCCGACACAACCAGCGCAGTCCACCCTTCAGCAGTTGACGACGCAACCAGGTACTTCATCCGCCAGGGCCTGGCGGACAGCTCCAGCACGACATACGCTTCGCTGCAGCGCTCCGGACGCTTGTCGCCCCCGCGCCAGGGCAAGCTACAACCAGGGACTGATCAGTGCCAGCAGCGTTGTTCCAGATCTGGTACGTAGAGCGCATTGCCCACTATGCTAATGGGCAGCCGCATTGGACGGCGCTCGCATCTATTGCTGTAAATAGTAATGCCGATAAATCCTGTTTGGGTCATGTTGTATTTTTGGGAGAACAGTAAGGATCGTGAGTCAGGCCGGCATTGAGCCAAGTGCGCCTATATTCGCTCACAAGTGCATCCTTTAAGCCATCCCGTAAGGGAGAACAGTAGGGATCGTGGGTCAGGCCGGCATTGAGCCAAGTGCGCCTACATTCGCCCACAAGTGCATCCCTACTGCATGCTCGTGTATTGACACATCTGAATTCAACAGTAGGGATCGTGGGTCAGGCCGGCATTGAGCCAAGTGCGCCTACATTCGCCCACAAGTGCATCCCTACTGCATGCTCGTGTATTGACACATCTGAATTCAACAGTAGGGATCGTGGGTCAGGCCGGCATTGAGCCAAGTGCGCCTACATTCGCCCACAAGTGCATCCCTACTGCATGCTCGTGTATTGACACATCTGAATTCAACAGTAGGGATCGTGGGCAGGCCGGCATTGAGCCAAGTGCGCCTACATTCGCCCACAAGTGCATCCCTACTGCATGCTCGTGTATTGACACATCTGAATTCAACAGTAGGGATCGTGGGCAGGCCGGCATTGAGCCAAGTGCGCCTACATTCGCCCACAAGTGTATCCCTACTGCATGCTCGTGTATTGACACGTCTGAATTCTCGCCGGGCAATTGTTGCCCCAGTTAGTGTCGGCATTGGCCATACTAACGCACAGCGGTGCTTGCAATACTAGCTCTGGCATTGGACCAGAATATTGCATATTGCATACGGCAATTGTTGCCTATCTCCTGGAAATACAACGCGTAATAGCTCCCAAACAGGTCGGCTTGTTGTGTGGTTGGTAATGAATGTTGTGGTCTTTTCTTGTCCATGGTGTGAGGAGTTGCATACAGCTGTCATCTCCATGTTTCAAACAAATGGACGTCCGCTGCTGCAATTATTGTTTGTGTGTCTGTGTGTGTGTGTTTGTTTGTTCCTGCTTCTGCACTGCCTTTCCTGCAGATGGCCGAGCACCTAGCAGCGACTCACTGCCGTTCAGCGTGGAGGTAGCACCAGCACCAGACGTAAGCTCTCTACTTCTAGTACAGCACTGTCGGTCGCCGAAGAACTGGGGAGTCAGCCTCCTAGCCTAGACCGTTCTTATTTTCATGTACTACAGTCTATGCGCAGTTGAGTCACCGTGTATACATTGGTATGCTGTGCTTGATGAAATTCCAGTGTCTGCGGGATCACGTTCCGGCAATGTGTGCTGGGCACGTGTCGAACTGTCGAATGCACTGTAGAACTTTTCATCCTGTTTGCTGGTGCCATTGCGGGTCTGATTGTCCTTGTGCCAGTAGAGGGCTATCTAATCTGCGTCAGAACAAGCTGCTTGGCCGCTGAGAGGAAATCCGACATCTTTGCACTGTACTGAAGCTGCTTGGCCTGAGAGGAAATCCGATGGCTTTGCACTGTACTGAAGTTGTTTGGCCTCTGAGAGGAAATCCCACATCTTTGCAGTACTGAAGCTGCTTGGCCTCTGAGGGGAAATCCCACATCTTTGCACTGTACTGAGAAGCAGCTTGTCACTACGCTGGTGTACTGAGTGAGGTACTGAGTGAGGGTCTCAGCGACGGCCTTGTTCACCAGCGAGACATGCTTGGCGCGGGTGTCTATGATCGTTAGCAAGAGTACATAACCCCCAAGAGTGTGCAACTCCAGCTATGGGGTCTGCGACGGCTGAACCTCACATCACGTGATGAACCCGTACACATTATTTGCACTCTGTGCTTGAATGATACAGGGTGGTACGCAACCCAGCTTTGGGTACAACTCTCTTGTGGTCACTTTGCACTGTTTGCCAGTGTAACCTTTTGAACCATGTCAGGTGATGTGAAGTTCTGCCGTCGCAACACTGCATAGAGGTTGTGCAGGCAGTTGCACACTCTTGGGGGTTATGTACTCTTGTCGTTAGCGACAGCAACCTTTTTGCCATGCGCCTTATGCTGGATGTCGTGGAAAATTGCCTTGGATATTACTAACTTATCGATCTGCTGTATATGGGAACAGGGCAGATCTATTCTATGAAAGTGTCTTATTGGGTTGTGTGCTTTCCTTGTTGTGCCCAGTCTCCGTATACAGGCTTTGCCACATTCATTGATACGTTTGAGGGTCAGACAACTCAATTTGAGGCCGGCTGCCAATACGTCGTTAGAGGTACGTATGGACGTTGTTGCTGTCGCTGCTGCTCAACTACCATACCTGTACAGAAAGCAATGTTCTCAAGTGTGTGGGGTCCTGGATCGTAGCTTATGTTGTGCCTCCGGCTTCTTTGTCTCCCTCTCAGCATACCATGTCTGTGCAAATTGGTCCTTCTCTTGTAGGTATGGACGCGTTCAAGTCAGCCCTGATCCAGGCAATGGGTGCGATGACCTCGGTGAGTGCAGTATGCATTCCCGGTGTATGTGTGTGCATGTGTGTTTGTGTGTGTGCGCGCGTGTGTGTGTGTGTGTGTGTGTGTGTGTGTGTGTGTGATGCTGTGCGTGTGATGCTGTGCGTGTGATCCGGCCACTCAATGGGTGAAGTTGTGTTACTATTGTGTTTTGAAGGTGTGCTTATATGCTCCACTGCACGTTTAATCTGTCTGTGTTTAACGTGTTGCTGTCTCTTTGCTTGAGAAATGGCTTGGAAAACAAATGGTCTGTGTGTATGTGTGTCTGTGTGTCTGTTGAAATTAGAATGACGCTCTAGCGCGCGCCAACGAGAACCTGGAGCGAATCAACCAGGACTTAGTGTACAAGGTATGCGATGCGTCTATGTTTGTACATCACCGGTTTGTGTGCGGCTGCTAGTGTTGTGGCTTTGCCGTGTGTGCGTGCGTGTGTGTTTGTCCTTGTACTTGACCAAGGTTCTGGATGTTGTATGCTGTGTCGATCGGTCTCTCGGTTGTGTTTCTTTGCTGACAGGTGGATGATCGTGACCAAAAACTAAATCATCTCATTCAGATTGTAAAGGTAAGAACTAAGCAGTGCTGTTTGGCAGCAGTCTGAAGGCCAATGACATGCAATACACCACAGTGAAATAGGACTGAGCACTTTGAGCCTTGCGACCTGTAAACATCCTCGCTTCTTTCCAAGCCCCAAGAATAGCTCAAAAGCTTAGTCCTGTTGAAGGGGCGTATTGGTTGTTGAGAGGGCAGAAATTACTGTTGATATCGATGGAAAGGCCGGAAAGAACCAAGACCTGTGTTTGTGTGCCCCGGAAGCAACCGTTCTTTGTGTTCTGCTTCATGTCCTTCAGAGCAACAGTGCTGAAGAAGAGAAGCGACGTGTGCGCCATGAGCAGCGCCATGAGCAAGCAATGCACGATGCAGAGGAAGAACGGCGCAGAGCAAGGAAGGTACTATTCACCCTCTTTTTTCGGATATTGATATATGAGCCCCAGCCAGCAGAAACCTGAACATGTGTAATTTTTTCAAAAATTATTTTTTCCCTCGAAATTGTTTCTACACTATTAATCATTCAAGTTAGGGGTCGTCGCAAAAGTTTTCTGTCGTCCCTGAAACGAACATCGTTCATTTCGTACTTGGACCCCCTCCCCTCCCTCTGAAACGAACACAGCCTGCTATGCTGGACGACGAAAATCGCATGCATGTACATGTCATATGTACAGTGTCGGTCGACTTGCGATTTTGGCTCGCACCCCCTCCCCCCCCCCCCCCCCAAATGAATCATGTTCGTTTCAGGGACGACAAAAAACTTTTGCGACGACCCCTTATCAAGTTTGGTGGCAATCTGATAAGCGAAAGCATGGAAAATAGAGTTTTAAGTCACACAGGTCAAGATTCGGTACAGTTGGCGCCGCATCCATGCCTAGTAACTCCATGCAAGTTGATCCTACAGTTTCTAATTGTGATGTGGAACAGGTACATGTAAGTAAACAGAATGCAAGTCATGCTTGCCCTCTTGGTGCTGCAGGCATGAGTAGTTCATAAGTGTGACGATATTCCGTATACATCACTACCTTCTTTACAAAACCAGAGTGCAAAACGATGATTGGTGGCTGGCCTTCCAAATTGTGTTCAGGGACCTCTGTGCTGGCAGTTTGAGTGTTGTCCAAAAGCTTGCCATACTGATAGATGTACTGACCAATACCACTGTGACTGACATCCACTCCCTTGCACACTTTCACTCAGACCATGATTTCAGCATAATTGTATTTCAATGATATGAGCGAATACTCGCGTTTTGTAGCACGTGAAGATGTTGCCCCAAAGCGTTCAGCCGGTTTGAGTTTTAGGGATCCCCTTTCTCAGCACCCATGTTTTCCTCGTGCCAGGCCACGAGTTCCCAATTAACTGTGGGTCGCAGCACGGCTGGAAAAAATCCTTCCGCTTCCAAGCAGGACTTGAACCTGGTACCCTCTGTTTCTCAATCATGGTCTTAGACCATCCCACTATGCCTGCCTGCGAGGAAAACATGGATGCAGTGAATGGGATTTTCGGTCTTTGACCACTTGCTGGTGAGCTGATCTACTCACCTCCCACCGCTTTAGGAGCTGCATTTGCGCCTTGATCCTTGAAGGGTGGTGGCGTTCCTACGGATGCGGAAAACCCGGCTTCCAGCCGAGTCTCACGCGAACCGTGAAATTTTTTTTAATAATTTTTTTCTCAGCACAGGCAGCAGCCAGCTTGGCGTCGTCTGGCAAGGTAGAGTACTGATAATACTACGCTCTGTTTTGCGCCGTGAGAAGCTCTCCATCAGTGTCTGCAACATCATTGTTGTGGATGTAGAAATACGGATCGCTCAGCGGGTCGACATTCAGCTTCTCCTCGCAGTCGCTATTACTCCAGCACTGACTATCGTCGCCACCAGTATCCAGTGTCGATTTTATGAGGGCTCTTCATTGCTATGCATATGAGACTCGCCACTGCTGGACAAACTCAGCGAGATCGCCACCAAAGAAATAATTCCGATCGCGAACTAATTTTCAGCGCCGCTTCGTACAGGGAGTCTCACGCTGACAACTCTGGACCTAAGCCTTTGTCGCGACACCTGTCGCCATCGCTGTGTCTAAACTCAACCTCCGTGTGACGAGCTCTCACCTAGCGCTAAAATCAATTGACCAGAGACATTTGAAGACACTTGAAACTCCTTTGACAACAAAGACACCCACTCGATCGAAAAAGAATCTTCAAAAGCCAGCTCACTGCGCGTCCCAAACTTTGACGTCACATTTTGATGATTGATATCAAGTACACAAGTGCTGGTTTTCGCTGGCCGGGGCTCATATAGCAGTAACAGCAGCATGAGAATCAGATGACCTAGCAAGGTGGATCGACAGTGATGATAAGCCTAACTGATATTTTCAATTGTATTCTACTGTTCGGGCAGGTTGTCTCCACTCTTCCCTCCCGTTCGGAAATGCACTGAAAGAGTGTGGCAGTGACATGGCCTGAAGCGTGTTTGGTGTTGTCCACCGTATCTTGTTAGATCCTTACTGTTGTGACGTGCTGTGGTTCTGCCTGTGCCTGTAGGAGGAAGAGCATCGCCTTGCCCTTCTAGAGAACACGGTGCCCCAGACCAGCATGCCGGTCAGTTGTATTGCATAACTTAGCCATGTGATGTGGGTGGGTGTGTTGTGTGTGGGAGTTCTTGTGTGACACTCACCTAACTCTGGCTGATGCAGTAGGTATATTTGATAAATAATTTGACTACAGTAAAACTCCCCTACTAGTAATCCGGGCATGGCCGTCTACAAAAATTGCCTTCAACGAAAAACGGCTCCAAAAACTATTGGTTGGCATAAAAAATGTTTTCTTGCATGCAGTACTTGCAGTATGTATGTATGTATTGTCTGAGTTATGGACAGTGGTCCATCCCAACTTGCCCGGATCAGGGGAGTTTTACTGTATTTCCATATTAGAATTAGAACATTGCAATCTATGTCTATTGACCACACCGAGATGTTTAAATGCCATGATAAGATAGGTATGCATTTTGTCCAGAGTGTAGGAGGCTTCAAGTCTTATTTAGCCTTGCTTACCTTGCTGCTCTGCTTGTGCTGCATCAGGAGCCCATGGCAACTGGCATGTCACCCATGGCAACCGCCATGTCACCGCGCTCTCCACAGGTAGCAGGAATCGACTCTCCTGACAAGGAGAATGCCTTCGGTCATGGTGGCAGCGGTGCCGCTCCGCTCTACACACGCAAGCGACGGAGCGACGAAAAATGGCTTGAACACAAGCCGGAGGGAACACTTCAGACAGGTACTGTAAAGCGTGAAATTTTCGCGGCGTTTTTAGTTCGCGTTTTCAGAATCCGGACAGGTTTGCGAGGTTTTAATTTTGCGATTGCAGAATGGCATTCTTGCTAAACCTGTGGCATTCTTGCTAAACCTTTCATGGATCTCCTTTTCGCGCTGTCTAAATTTCGCGATTTCCACGCAGTCGCGAATTTCGCAGAAATTTGACCATCGCAATAATTTCACGGTTTACAGTATGTGCATTCATGTGGTTGAATAGCCAGCCGTTATGTGGCCCAATATCTGAGAAAATCGACCTTCGGGGCTGTTTTGGTGAAATTGATTTTTTTATTGCAAATTGATGTCTTGCCTTGGTAGAGTATTGTGACTTCGTTTCACGGCCATCAGACCAATATTGACCATGTAGAAGTGCATTTTACAGTCAGGAGTCATGTTAATGAATTGTTCTTTTTTTTACATTTTTGAAAGATCAGTGTGTTTGGAGCCACAAAAAATTGTTTCTATGTGATATCACTAGCCAACTAATATAGCAAAGTGTTTTTACTGTTCAGGTACTTCATTTCCAGCATTCCGTGACTTTATTGAGGTTGTGTAGTTGCAACAGCAGCAATAGCAGCATTAGAAGGAGAGGTGATTTATCTGTTCTCCTGGTGATGGACATGCTTGACAGGATAGTCTGCAACAGATTTTGATGGAACACCATGATACATGTGACAGCATTCACATACTTATTGTGAAGGAGTCAAACAGAGATTCGTCCAGATTCGCCTTGTTGCACTTTGTGGAGACTGACCATTTCCAAACATCAGTAAACCAGCCTGACAAGCGTTTCACACCACCAACTCAAAAGTAACAGAATGTTACTCGAGATTGCCCAGCCTCATGTGCTCCGTGATGGTCTGATTCGCCATTATTAGCTCGAGTATCGAGCTTGCCATCCCAAACATTTTAGGATCATCGTCGCAAAGAAAACTCGCATCATTTCGTGCTGTTTTAGCAGGTCTGGCGTGACACTCAGGAAACAGTTCTGCCACTCGCGCAAGGGCGCCCAGCGACCTTGCAAGCGGCGTACCCTCAGGAATCCACCTGGTTGTCCTTGCCTGGAGCTGTAGCAGCTATCGCTGAGGCAGACTGTGGTTAGCCTTGATCATACTCATCCAGGCCCGGCAAGTCCTCATCATCGTCGCCCCCGACAGGTAAGTACCGCGTGTCACTTGCGAACGATTCGCCTGACATGCGCTCTCAGAACTAGAAGCGCTGTTGCCGCTTGACAGGATATCCACAAAGAACGATGCATCACCGTCCATGGGATCGCGGCTGCTGTGCTCCGTGAGCCCAATAACCAACTGACACAAGAATCGCCTTCAATTTTATTCCGCCATTGTCGTCTCTGCACTTTGCTTTGACGGAATCGATTTTTTTGCGAACAAATTTGTTTTTAGTGTTTTCTCAAAAAAACCGCGTAGCCCCGAAGGTCGAAAGTCTCAGATATCGGGCCATGTCTAGTTTGCCGTCTGCATTTGTGTGATCTAGGTTACTTTGAACCGTGTTTTTTTGCTGTCTGATGGTACCAATGGTTGAACTGTCATGTTATCTTTTCTGTTAGTAAAGCCTCTTATACGTGCAAAATGAATTGAACAGATCAAACAAACTCCTGTGTTTCTGTTTGTATTGTTTTTCTTCGCAGATACCGTACTTCAACCTAAGCTGAAAAAGAGCAAAACTGTCACGATACCCAAGAAGAGCGACATGACGAGCAAGAACGTGAGGTGCCCTCCGTGTTGATTTTTGAAAGCAGCTGTATTGTAACTCATGGCCAAACTGTGTGTGCATTTTCACAACGCCCCATTTATTCACTCTGGCAATTGGTTGCTTTGAATCTCATCTAACCCATCCCACATGAAATTACTTGATTTTTAATGTGTCTGATGTGTCCGGGATACGAGTGGTCTCCTCACTGCATTTATTTATTTTAACGCTATCACTTCTCTTGGCATTGTATGCTCAGATTTGCCTATATACATGTTACTATTCTTAACTGCTGGTCAGGTATGTCGAGATTGGTCTGTTTGAGTTGAGTTCTTTGAGAGGAAACGTTCTCTCTGGTATCTCTTCGTGGGCTGTGAGAAAGTCACGACATGCCATTGTGTGTTTGCCCTTGAGGTTCCACCTTGATCAGGGCATCGCCCGTTAGCTCGTGGGCTGTTGAACAAGATTGTTTGCACACGCTGCTCGTTGTGTTGCGTTGTGGCCTTGGTGTCACTAATTAGTATTGCCACAGAGCAATGGGCTGGAGTAGTCAAATGTTGTGTTGTACTCCCACTGCAGTCTTTTGACAGAAGGCTTGCTGGACTCTGTGTAGCCATTGAAATCTGTCCTATATTTCTCTGCTGTTTCTGCTGATGGTTGTGTGCAGTATGGTCGTTACATGCTCCACCACCAGGAGGAGGATTCCATAGGCGAGGTGAAGGAGCAGCTCTTCAAGGTGAGTTGCCCTTGTGTTGCCCTAGGATGGAATGATGGGTCACACAGGAGACACTGTAGCATGGAGGGATGAGTCACTGTTGCACAGGGAATGCTGTAGCATGGAATGATAGGTCACAGCGGGGACGCCAAGGCATGGAATTGCTGGTTCACACTATAACACCGGGTCACAGTAGTACCCCGTTTATATCTCACAACTGAATCTCAGTTTCATGCATTGGTATGATGTGATGTGGTCCCGTTTCAGATGTTCAAGCCAAGCAACCCGACTCCCTGTCAATTCCTATCGTACCTACTTCAAATTCAAAGCAGCAGCAGCTGCAGTAACACCTAACTCTCTAATGTGGTGTGTGTACTAAACATAAGAAATAATCCAAAACGATAATTATGACTATAACTGTTCTTTCTGTTCCAGGGTGCCATGATGAAGACCAGAGGTGGTGGTATGAGTGTGCAGTTCACCGATGTTGAGACTCTGCAACAGCGCCGCCCTGAACAGCTTAGAAGGTAGAGCATGTACTTACGTCACGTGTCTGACTGTTGTGTTCTTTATCTCCCTACTTCACTGACCTGGGCAATTTGCTACAAACTTTGTATTGCCACGCGTGTTCCTATCTCCGCTGTAGCTTATACATGGGAGTGTGTTTGTGTTTGTTTGCTTGCTTTTGCTTCAGAAGTGAATGTAGCCCTGTGAAGCCGCTTGAGCCGACAGCTCCTGCACTCGAGGCTGATGTAGATGTTCCCGAGCGGGTAAGTGTGATACACTTATCTGACTGGATATAGTCTGGAGCTGTGTTTACTTGTTTTCACCGTCTTGTACAATAAAGCACTGTGTGTGTGGCATGGCATTACTGTAGCCCATGCCTGTGGACATGATCCATCGGTTCCATGGTAGAGTGGTTATCTCACTTGTGTATACTGAGCTACTTTGTTTGTTGTACTGTCCTGGTCTCTCCTCCCCCCCCCCCCCCCCTCTCTATCTATCTCTCTATCTATCTCCATGTCTCTATCTATTTGTCTCTGTCTCTCTCTCTGTCTGTCTCTGTCTGTCTCTGTCTGTCTCTGTCTGTCTCTGTCTGTCTCTGTCTGTCTGTCTGTCTCTCTCTGTCTCTCTCTCTCTGTCTCTCTCTGTCTCTCTCTGTCTCTCTCTGTCTCTCTCTCTCTCTCTCTCTCTCTCTCTCTCTCTCTCTCTCTCTCTCTCTCTCTCTCTCTCTCTCTCTCTCTCTCTCTCTCTCTCTCTCAGTGTGCCACAGCGTTTGAGGGACGACCAGGCATGATGACACCAAGTGTGGCACACCGTGTTACCAGCGGGTCAGTACCTTGGCAATGTTGTATTATCACGCCATGCATTGTACAAGTTTCTAGTACTAGGTAGTTTTAAAATATGATGTGCTTGCAGTTTGCATGTAGTCTGCACATTGAAAATGTTTCTTTCAAGTCTTTTCGAACAGGCTACTTTGGCTTTGGGCACTTTGAAATTGTCCTCAATAAGTTACGTTCCTGTGGTATACCTTCCCACTCGGGAACAAATTTCCTTCTCACAAATTTGAGCATATCTTGCTCACTATAAAAAGGAGGAACGTTTTCACGCCAAAGCAGCCCACATGCTTGCGAATTTTCCATCATGATCTCGGCTACAAACTGCTTCCAGCACTGTGTATCCAGGTGCTCATGACGTCTTGATCTTTTCATGTTCTTGCCTTGCAGGAGATGAGAGGGATTGTAACCACACTAGTCCAACTCCAGTCCAAATCCAGTCCAGCCGCCTTCTAATAATTTCCCCAGTTTCCCAAAGATTTTTTCACTACTTTCAACTATACGTACCATAACCCATACCTTCTGCGTCCCTGTCGCCTCAAGACAGAGAGCACAATGCGACTTATCACCGGTATACAATACACATCAGCAATTCCCCTCCTGAAACAAAGCATGTCAATAATCAACCAAATGTTCACATTCTTTTCAATAATCTTTTGCCAGCTTTGGTACATATTCCTATTCCAGTGGCCCCGAAAGGTTGGCCCACAATATCTCTCCGAAGTCCTGAAGTCACCTCGCTGAAGTCCTGAAGTCACCTCTCCAACTTCATGAAATTGTGTACGTAGTGAACTGCCGTACATAAAACCCCAAGTTTCGTTCCGTCCAGAGGTATATTGTGTTGCGGTCTCTGGAGACACAGATCGACAGTTACCTCTGCACTCTCGTTTGTCTGCTCAACTTTTTTTCTACTGTTTTCTACTTTGTGATATTGAGTGTGGCCAATGCATGCCATTAATATTCGACGAAACCGCATCATATTATAAACTAGTTGTCTTGTGTCTCTCCTTCATGGACTCTTCTTGTGTATAAGAACTACACGTCCTTGTTCATGTAGAAACTGCTACGATCTATTTGCTCTTGCCATTTGCTGCTAATGTTATTTGGCACTGCATTATCTCACCATCATCATCATCATTAAGAATATGACTAACCTGCCCCAGCACCAATATGGCAGAGGCAGTCGCTGTGCCAGTGTTCGCAAAAATATGTACATTATACAATTAAAAATAATTATTATGTGAATACAACGGCATATGAACAAAAATAATATGAAAGCAATTCGAGGTCCGACTTTTGTATTTTTGTCATGAACGGTTAAAAAAAAAGTAGCAGGTGGGCACAACGAGACTCACCACCCTGATACATGCAAAAACACACGTAAAACACAGTAAACGTAAAAAAATATTTAACAATATGATAAACGTTACATTGTTGAAGTTGAAATGTTTCGTGAGACAGAACCATGAATTATTCTTACAGGAATGTTTTGTATTTCAGCATGCCATTACAGTACACAGTATTTCTAACTAGTACTTGTCTTGAGGAAGAGCGTCAAGATAGGAGGTGATGATGAGAGTCAAGCAAACAGACCAGCTGTCCAGTTGGACCCGCCAGGTTTAGATTCGGATATGAAATGTACTGCAGGAAACAACCGTACAGAAAACAGCAGCAAGCACATGAACATAATGATCCTGTTCACTCAAATCCATTTTAAAAAGCCTCAACGCAATGAAGGGGAATCCAGCTCAAGATAGCTGATGACACTGATGCTTCGAGGTTCATGCAAAGTCCAAGAAAGACGTTGGAACTTGGCAAAGGGTTCCATGGAACTTCAACTTCCAGCACATGTACATGTAATTGGCTCTCCAGTCCTTCAAAGTACAAACACTGATATATGCTGGCGCAGTATTCTGGAGAATACGCTGGACTTACATGCAAACAAATGTATAACCCCCTTGATGCTAATACAGTGCTGGCAACTGAAATCCGACCCCCTTGGCGGCGCGGCGCGCCGCCAAGGGGGTCGGATTTCAGTTGCCAGCACTGTACATTGGGTGGGGGCTTTCAACACAAAGTCAAAGGCAGAAATTTCCTGACCACTGCCCTCCCAATGTTTTTGCAAATAAAGCTGAAAACAATCCAGCACAGCCACACTACTCTTTGTTCCTACACATCAGGAGCAAGCTGCTTTCAAACACATCAATTTTTACCCCTGGAAATTGTGTTGTGCCTGCACACTTCACCATTCTTAATGCCACGTCTCCTAGATCCTTGAAGCAAACAATTAGTCGGGTTCACTGGTGTACAGTGCAAATCCATGAAATCTGGCAGTTCAACTCACTTGATAAAGTCCGGTGCTCTTGAGATGACGTGTTCAAATTCCACAAAAGACAAACGACCATCACCGTCGAGATCTGATTCCTCCAGCACCTACATGTACAGATAGAAGAGAATATACCAACACAGCAACAACACAATACAATACATTTAGAATGACATGGGGCCACCGTGGCAGAGGACACAAGACCTCTGATACGACATGGACCTGATTGGTGTTCAATGCTGCAAAGTACAAATCTCTGAACACAAACACACGCGCACACACGCGCACGCACGCACACACACACACACACACACACACACACAAATTCACATCCATACAGGACATGCTTACTTTATTGGTGACATCGTCGATCTCTCTCTGTGTGAGGTGGTCTTCTCCTGTCAAACAGCGTATGGTGCAGCCAATGTCATGCCGTCCCAGCCACCCATCATTATCAAAATCTACAAACACATCACACCCACCCAAATACACACTTTCAATACGGAGGATTAGCAAGACGAAATTCGCGTTCATGTTCGCGAACATTTTTCGGTTCGCGAACTGGATTGCAAACTTTCGCATTTTTCGTTCGGAAAAGCAGTCAAAACACGAATCCGCGTTAGGACAGTCATACATTTACTACGCTGTACTGTCTGTGCACAATGTACGACGTGTCAAAATCATGCATGTGCGAATTCTGTTTGCTAATCCTTCTCATATTTTTAAACGCGAATTCCGTCACTGAGTCCGCCTTTCGTTGGAGTGCGAACACGGCTGCGAATCCCGTCTTGCTAATCCTCCATAATTGAGCAGATAAATGTCATAAATCACGGTCAAAACCGATGCACACACACGTGCACACACACACACACACACACACACACCATATGACGCCCATCGCAGGAGGCGATGATAGCAATGCTACAGCAGAAGCCATAGCAACTTGTGCTGGGATTGCACCATTCATCAGCTTGCAAGGCTGAAGAATTGACTGCCACTATTCAGCCTGGTCTACACCACACAGCTATGAAGGAGCTTTTCTGGCCAGTGAATCCCTACTTTTGATCTTTTTTCATTATTTCTCCTGCACACACATCACACCACATACTCCGGCATGCACTGGCTGTTGGTAACCACCCAGGAGAATGAAAGGAAAGTCAGGAGGAGTCAGAGGAAGAGAAGAAAGACGTGTGTGACCATAATTGTCGGGAATCGAACCCGCAACCTCTCGATAGGAAATCGCTGCACATACCAATGCACCATATGAAAAAAAAACACAAATGCACATACCGATACAGTCAGACCTCGCTTATCCGGTCCGCTTTTATCCGGAAGAAAATCTGTGGTTACCAATTTACAGCACATGTCAGGCATACATACAGTATGTGTGTTTGATTATCCGGTTCCCTCGCCTATCCAGATATTTTCGTGGAAAATGGATGTGTGCGGTTAAGCGAGGTCTGACTGTACATAAATTCATACACACATCTAAAATGTATTACCGTAGATTTTGAAAGCATACGCAGCCTTGACATCCCTGGGAGCCTGGTTCACAGAAAACAAGAAATGAAAAGGGAAACAGAAAGATCTCAATTTCAGTCGGGTCCTATGCATAAAAACTAGTGATGTAACGAATAATCGATTATTCGAATTTCCTTGATCTCTTGGCAATTGGACCTCAACGATAATCGATGGGATAAAAATCATAAAATCTAGGTCAAAGGTCCGAAACTTCGAATATTCGTGGGCGGGCGAAGTCCGTGCTGCATACCGCGCGCGACTCTAGATCTCTCGACTTGAATGCACTTTGTACTGTGTTGCCGCGAACGACTAGACTACGCGCAGTAGACCCTGATAAACTCTACTCTGACTCGAGTCTGAGCACTTGTGTTGGGTGTTTGCTACATGTACACTTCGCATTAGCAATAGTTCTTGATAATTGTCAATAATGAATTTTCTTGTGGAATAGTAGAATAATCGTTCGTTCGCTTGAGTGGCATTCGCTAGATTATTTGTTCGTAAAATTCATGGTTCGTTACATCACCAATAAAGCAGCATACTACAGTACTACTCAATGAAATCCAGTCGAGTTTCTCAAGTACGCGCCGGGCGTTGCGCAGCCCTAGACCTGCGAACACGGAGCTGCGAAAAGGTGCACGGCGCCAACTTGACTCTGGATTTCATTGAGCAGCACTGTAGTTACCGGCGGTAATCACAGCTACATTGTACATACTGTACATTGTACATTGTACATTGTCTTTTTTTTTTGACGGATGCCGGATGGGAGTTTGAGCTCTCACTCGGACCTGGTTTCTGGCGCCCCGTTCGCAACTCACCCTGATGCAGAGTGGCCAGTGTTGCCGGTGCAACGGCAACGGCACCTGCGTCAGGTGTGACTGCACCAAGGCGGCACGGAAATGCTGGAGCTGCCTTCCGTCAAAGAAGGATCGTTGTAAAAATTCCGCCATCCCTTCTCCTCCCCAGCCGGAGCAAGCTGTCAACGGCCATCGACAACCTACGGTGCAGGACAACGCTACGGGAACAGTTCTAACCGTACAATGCGATGATGCCAGCGTGGATGCCAGTGCAGCCACAGCTCTCACCACCACCCTGCTGGCAGAATGTCGAGATCCCGTACCCGTAGATCTACCGTGCAGCGGTGAGGTGGCGGCTGACCATGCGGCCAATCAATCCACTCGATTTACTGGCGATCAGACCGCTAGCGCCGCCTCAGACTCCCAACAGTTTGCTTGGAGAGCACTGGATCAGCTGCAACCAACCACCGTGGTTACGGAGGGCGGAGCGGACGAGCCTCCTGCCGGCGCTCAGTCGGACTCCCAGCAGTATGCGTGGAGGACACTGGACCAGCATCAAGCACGCACAAGTGCGTCCCAGGAAAGCCTTGTGCCCACCCCAGAAGAGGTCGACCTCGTAGCCAATCTGGATCAGAGCCAGCTGCAACAGACCCCGACACACTCAGATCAGGAGCTGGAGGAAGGCCCACGGGATCTCCCGAATTTCCCTACTGCCCCCACTACAGGATTCATTCTGGGCGAGCGTACCAACTTGGATTCTGTGCAGGCTGTGCAAGACGTGTACGAAGAAGTGGTACACTGTAGACCGAATGCAATGCAGGTACCCCGAGGAGCCACTGGCAAGCTCTTTGTATCCCAACTCTCCAATTACATTGTGTGCTTTGGAACCAGTGGGCCATATGAAGGCATAGCTCTGAAAGTAGCCATGGTCTTCCAAATGCTGATGCTGCAGAAGCCGCCAGGTCCTGCAGAGAAATCCGCGGATATCCTGCAGCGCCGCCTAGCAGCATGGCACAGAGGGGACCTACACGACCTGCTGCACGAATGCCGAACGATTCAAGAGGAGCTCACAGCACCTAGCCGGCCCCACCGCGGGGGTAACAAGGAGAAGGATGATGCACGCCACTTTGCAAACCTGGTGACAAGTGGGAAGCTATCCAACGCCCTACGATCGCTAGCCCCCAACGGAAATGCTGGAGCCCTGGCGCTGGATGACAGCATCGGTGACAAGTCAGTGCAAGAGGTCCTGCAAGACAAACACCCTGACCCTGCGCCCCTAGCCACGGAGGCCCTGATACAAGGTGTTCCCCCTCCTCAGCCTCATCCGGTCAGGTTCTCTGGTCTCAATCGTGACTTGGTGAGAAGGGCGGTACTCAACACTCATGGCACAGTCGGCCCGTCAGGTGTAGACGCTGAGGCATGGAGGTGGATGCGCACAATGTTCTCCGATGCGTCTGACTCGCTATGCGATGCGCTGGCAAGCTCTGCTCGACGTGTGGCGACCGAATTTGTCGACCCCCGATCGCTGGAAGCGTACCTGGCATCCCGACTCATCCCCCTCAACAAGAACCCGGGGGTTAGACCCATTGGGATTGGCGAGGTGATGCGGAGAGTGGTGGGCAAGGCCATCCTGTACGTAATTGGTCAGGATATTCAAGAGGCAGCTGGCACCCTTCAACTCTGTGCAGGCCAGGACTGCGGGATCGAGGCGGCGATACATGCCATGCAGCAGGCGTTCGACCAGGAGGATACCGAAGCGGTCTTAATGGCAGATGCCACGAATGCGTTTAACACGCTGAACAGGGAAGCATGCCTGCGCAACATGCGTCACCTATGCCCATCCCTGGCGACAGTCGTTATTAACAGCTACCGACAACCCGCAAAGCTGTTTGTTGGGGGCAGCGTCATCATGTCGGCAGAGGGCACCACCCAAGGTGATCCCATCGCGATGCCGATGTATGCGCTGGGCATTCTACCCCTCATTCGTGCTCTCTCGGCTGAGGGAACGATCCAGATGTGGTTTGCAGACGACTCCTACGCGGGCGGCAGAGTCCAACGACTACGTGCTTGGTGAGATATTCTGCGACAGAAAGGACCGGCATATGGGTACGCAGCAAATGCTGAGAAATCAGTCCTGGTTGTCAAGGCCGGTCACCTGACGGAAGCTGAGGACGCCTTTGCAGGGACCGGTGTGCACATTACCACCGACGGCCACCGGTTTCTAGGTGCTGCACTCGGATCGACGGAGTTCGTCCAGAGCTATGTTTCCCAGAAGGCAAACGGGTGGAAAGACGAGATCGTGTCCTTGGCCAAGATTGCCGAAACCCAGCCACAGGCTGCCTATGCAGCATTCACGCAAGGCCTGAAGCATCGCTGGTCCTTCCTGTGCAGAGTCATGGAGTGTGCTGCTGAAAATCTTGGCCCTCTGGAAGACACCATCACCAATGTCCTTATTCCTGCCCTGTGCGGTAAGCCAGTAAACTCACGTGAGCGAAGGGTCCTTGCTTTCCCATGCCGTGAAGGAGGCCTCGGCTTAGTCGACCCCACCACCTTGGGCGACCAGTTCCGGGCATCGGCAGCGATAACCTCGGCGCTCGTCCGCAAGATTCTGGACCAGGACACCCAGATTGGCCATGTGCTGGACCTGGTACGGTCCACTAAGAGGGAGGTGGCAAGTCGTACCCGCACTTCAACGGCCCAAGCAGCCAAAGAGTTCATCCTGACGCAGAACACTGATATCCAGCTCTGTGTCGGTCTGGCGGCGGAGAAGGGTGCGTCGGCTTGGCTGACCTGTAGACCCCTGAAGGCCCATGGCTTTGTCCTCTCGAAGGGTGAGTTCCGGGATGGCCTTGCGCTCCGCTATGGCTGGCCGCCAGCCCACCTTCCATCGATCTGCCCGTGTGGTGCATCGTTCACCGTCGCCCACGCCTTGTCGTGCTCTCTGGGTGGGTTTCCCTCACTGAGGCACAACGAGGTACGAGATGTTACGGCTGGTCTCCTCAAACGGGTCGCCAATAACGTCACCACTGAACCACACCTGCAGCCGGTAACTGGGGAAGCATTCCGCTACCGCTCTGCCATAACGGACCCCCAGGCTAGGCTGGATATAGCAGCGAGTGGTGTCTGGGGTGGGCGTTTTGACCGCACTTTCTTCGACGTACGGGTTTTTAACCCTTTCGCGGCTTCAAATCGCTCCACCTCAGTACCCTCCTGCTACCAGCGCCACGAACGGGAGAAACGCCGCTGCTATGAGGAGCGTGTTCGAGAGATCGAACATGCAACTTTTTCACCTCTCGTTCTCTCCTCAACAGGCGGCATGGGCAAGTCGGCAACAGCCTGCTATAAGCGGATTGCCGGGCTCCTGTCCGACAAGACGAAGGAGCCGTACAACCGTGTAATGGCGTGGATTCGCTGCCGACTTGGCTTTGCTCTGGTTCGCTCCAGCATGGTTTGTTTGCGTGGTGCTCGGCGACGCCCCATGCGCGTCAGCGATGTGGCGGATGCATCTGCTACCTTGGCCGTTGCCGAGGCCCGCTGCCCTGTGTAACTGACTGCAAGTGGTTCCTAAATCAGTTCCTATTCCTCATTGTTGCTTCTTTTTTCCCCTCTAGTTCTCTTTTACGGTATTATAATTTCACGGAGAAGGCGGAGAGCCCGAACGTGTGCAGTTTTATGTTTATTATTTGCCATGGCGACCCCCGTAAGTCCAAATAACTGGCAGGGCAAGGTTGGGCCTTTCTCTTTCTTCTCGGATTTATTTTCATGACATGCTCACTGATTTTACTCAGAAAAAAAAAAATTGTACATTGTACATTGTACATTGTACATGTATCTGCTTTCCAGGTACACATGCGATTTCACAATAGCAATCTATTGCCAAACAAATCCAAGGCAAATAGGAAAATAACACAGAATCCACAAGAGATAGATTTCACTATTCCTGAGAGGGAGAGAGAGAGAGAGAGAGAGAGAGAGAGAGAGAGAGAGAGAGAGAGAGAGAGAGAGAGACAGAGAGAGAAAGAGAGACAGAGAGAGAGAAAGAGAGAAAGAGAGAGAGAGAGAGAGAGAGAGAGAGAAAGAGAGAGAGAGAGAAAGAGAGAGAGAGAGAAAGAGAGAGAGAGAGAGAAAGAGAGAGAGACAGAGAGAGAGAAAGAGAGAAAGAGAGAGAGAGAGAAAGAGAGAGAGAGAGAGAGAGAGAGAAAGAGAGAGAGGGTGGTGGTGGTGTTCGTGCAGTTGCGAAAACTCAGTCTAGCTGAGTCTCCCGCAAATCGTGAAAACAATGAGAGTAAACTGCTCTAATAGGTCAATTTGCAAAGATTCAAGGTCAGAACACTATCCACTCACCCCTTCACTGAACACTGAGAACAGATCTAGAAAGTTGTCGAAGGTCAGCTGACCATCACCATAGTCTGAGAACACGGCACAGATGCGGTCCTTAAACGGATTTTCCTGCAAAGGAAAAACAAACAAACAGAAGATTTCAAGAACAGTGCTGCATGAGACCAGCAGGAAACAACATTGGTAACGCGCCCAGAAAACAACTTCACGAGATGTCCTGCAAAGGAATGTGGTTGTTTTCTGGAGGTGCAGCAGTAGTAGTACTGGTCGTTCAGAGCCTGCACGTGTGGTGTATATACCCATCTCAATTGTAAAACCAGACTCTCCAGTATTCTGACTCTAACGCATTTGGCCAGAAAATAATTTACAGGAAGACATCTAGATTTTCAGGAGCTGTTTGCACAGCAGCCACAAGTCCGCCACCAGCCATGCGCACCCTACAGTTAAAACTACAGGTGGTTACAGGCCGATTCATACTTCATTTCGCGTACGGGAAACGCGTCGCGTCGCGCAATGGCTTTCCCGTACGCGACATGAAGTATTATTCACACATATCCGCCGGATGAGTACGCGTGGCCCATGCACCATGGGGACCCACGAATACAAACCAGCATATGTTCCCTCAGCAATACAAGCAAGCAAGCAAGCAAGCAAGCAAAGATAAATGAGAGCCCAGGCAGCGAAAACAAAACGAAGAGAGATGAGGACATAGGCAACGAAAAAAGTTCCAAAGCGTAGCCAGGGATTCAATGTGTGCATATAGGTACGACATGAAGTATGAATCAGGCTTAAAAGTATACTTTTTTGTCAGGGTTGCCAAGGAGAAGGCCCAACAAAATGTCTAGGAGGTCTCTTCTCAGTGGTAGTTCTGATCATGATTGGTCTTCACTCAGTGGTAATTCTGACAGGGGTAACTTGTTGACATTCATGTATTGCTGGCAGTGGCAACAGATAATTCAGTCTAGTAGTAGTCATAATTCAAGTCCTCTTGTGCTTTCAGCATCGCCCCTGACTGACTTCCAACTGGAACTATTATACTACAGGTCTGCTTGGCTTCCAGTCTGAAGCTCTGCTATGAACTTCACAGGATACTTCAAAGTGTGTTGCATTACAGCCTTCACACCACCACTACAGACCAGGGATGAATTTATCCTGTATCGCATCGCAGTTTGCGATGCAAAATCGATCAACTGCTACTCAAATGTCACCGTGATTCGCAGAAAACTGCGATACATACAGACTATCTATGCCTAGCCTGCACTGTCAAGTAGCATGCATACAGTGCAGTGCAGTGTGGTGCAGGCACTCTCAATCTGCGTGCACATTTATGATTCAGTAGTTTTTTTTGCAAATGGCCTTTCAGGCATCACTCTCAAGAAGGACAATGTGGTAAACACCCAACCTTCAAAGAAAAATGCTAATCAAAATCAAAGACTGCTACACAATTGTGATTTTGTATAGCAGAAACTGCTATGCGAAAATATGACAATAAATTCATCCCTGCAGACGATTGCTTTCCATTGCTAAGCCCTCTACAATAAAGCCTAACGTTACTTCAGACTGTTCCTTGCTCCAGCACGTCACGCCCATTGCACTCACCATCAGTTCGGGCATGTCGGAAATTTCCTCCTGACTCAGCTGCACTGCCCGGCCGTCAGTAGCCACTCTGTCACTGAGCTGCGAAAACCGTTTATACACACTGTGTGCAGACAGGCAACAAGCAAGCAAGCAAGAGGAGAATAATGTGAAGTTAGACAGCAGAATCAGCGGAATCAGCAAAATTAACTTCCTATTAGTATCAGCCTACACACTAAACTCCTGGTTATACAATACAGTACTGTTGGGCGCCAAAGAACGGAGCGTCGAAGAACGGAGCGCCGAAGAACGGAGCGCCGAAGAACGGAGTGCCGAAGAACGGAGCGCCGAAGAACGGAGCGCCGAAGAACGGAGCGCCGAAGAGCGACTAGGCTAGGATTTCACCCTGGCACAGCATACCAATGTATACACGGTGACTCAACTGTGCATAGTAATGCATGAAAATGAGGCTGACCCCCAGTTCTTCGGCAACCGACACTACTGTACGACCAAAACCCAGGTAATGGGCAGGTGCATATGCAAGGCAGTCGTGTACGGACGTCAAGCAAGCTTTCCGCCAACAGTGAGAGCATACATGTCGAGCCTCCGTCAAATTACACACTGCGCACAGCAAGGTCGGACAGCACGAGGTATGGGTACTATGGGGAATGGCATGTGTGCCTGGGAAAGAAGAATATATGGCCAATATTGCGACAACACATGACCATGAAATATTCACAGCTTGGTGCCAACACCACCATGACAGTATCAAACTGCAGACTACAGTGCTACTCAATGAAATACGGTCGCGTGAGTCAAGTAGGTTTGCGCCTCGCATCATTTGGCAGCCCAGTGTTCGCAGGTCTAGGGCAGCGCAACGCCCGGCGCGTACTCGAGTGATTCGACTGGATTTCACTGAGCAGCGCTGTAGTACAGTTGCGCTCACTGAAATCCGACCCAAAGTGCAAAACTGACGCCCTGGACCAGTTCCGATTACATCACTGTCCTTGTACACGTGTACACCTAGCCGCATTCATACCACTTCCAGGGCGTCAAGGGCCGTGCAAGGCGAGGACGCCAAATATGCAATTTGGGTCGAATTTCACCGAGCACAGCTGTACATGTGCTGTGTGACATGGTATTCATATAGCAGAGTGACGAATGCGGAATCAGTGAAATGGCACTTATGATGGCAATGCACAACAATAAATCTCAAAATGCAGACAGCGGCATGTCTACACCTAACTCAACCAAGCACTTGGCCCAGCCAACTAGGGCATTCCACTACCGCCTGCGATAGCTTCACGTGCTGGTTCACACTCTGATCTCCACAGACTCTTTCAGCTGCAGCATTACTGAGCATGTATGTGGTGGGTGGGGGGGGGGGGGGACACCAAGGTGCGAGAACAAAGTGGGTAGTGCGTAATACAGTGTGACAGTGTGGTGCATGATTCTCAACAGTGCGCTGCTACATAATGTATGTTGTGCTGTGATGAAAGTGAATGGGCGCTTTCGATTACACATTTGGGTCCAGGTTTTATCATTCTCGAATGCACGGATTGCGGCCATGTAACTGTTAAACGAACGACTACACGCAAAAATCGTAAAAGGGGGTCACATGGGATCCCGTGCACCCTCGTGCGCACGTGGACCTAGCATGGTGTTATACGTCGAGTGCGTCGATTCTGGAATTAGCAATTCTGCTCTCTCTTCAGAATTCATGACAGAATTTGTGTAATCGAACGGTGCATCCACCAAAACTAATTTTTAGAATTGACCGAAATGTGTGTAATCGAACGCGCCCAATGTACAAACTACACATGTAACAAGGACACCCTGGACTAGTTCTCACACTATACATGAATGTGTACTGTATGGTGTACCATACATGTACATGCAGTGCTGCCGAATGCAAGAATGCCACTTACTGGAGTACTTCTTTGCGAGTGAAAAACGTGCAGTCCTGGGCAGGACAAAGAGCAGCAAAACGTCCACATAATTATACGCCTACCCATGACTAGACAAGTGACAAGAACACAGTGCGCCATGAACATGTGTATCCTCCACGGATTGGTACATGGTGGTGGGCAACCGTAACGTAGGCAGTACTGCTAACGTAAGGGTTGCCCGCCACCATGTACCCTGCTCCTATCAGTGTGCAGAAAGGTAAATCTGAACGAAGCCTGCCAGTCTGATAGTATTGACCACACACAGTTGACATGCGTACAGGTCATGAACATGGTTATTTCACTGCTACACGTTCCACAGTGCAGTGCTCAATGAAATCCAATCAAGTGAGTCTAGTTCGCACCCTGCACCATTTCACATCCCACAGTGTTCACAGGTCTAGGGCTGCAAGTAGTCCGGTGTGTACATGTACTCGACTCACTCGAACGGGTATTGAGCTGCACCGTGGTTGAAAACCCTTCACTGAACAATCATGTGATGTATTGTTAAAGTAAAGTTGCCATCGTTGGGATCATGATCTTCAAATGTTGCAAGCGCTGTGCGAATGTGGAAGGATGCCACAACGGAAAGAGACTCTGTGTGCGTGTGTGTGTGTGTGTGTGTGTGTGTGTGTGTGGTGTGTGTGTGTGTGTGTGTGTGGTGTGCGTGTGTGTGTGTTTGTGTGTGTTGGCCGTTTTATGCCGATGTACTCCGTGTGGTGCAGACCAGGTGTGCATTGGTGGTCGATGCACATGGCTTCGCCAGTTGTGTGGATTAGACAGTTATCTGGCGCAAGTCTTGATCTGTCTCATTCAGATCTTGTTTGCTATCGTTGCTATAAGAGAAAATCTGTGGGTGCACATCCAGTGCATTTGAAGATTTGCGTGCTTCTCTTGCGACGAGCGTATACATGGTACATGTTACATGGTGTGTGTGTGTGTGTGTGTGTGTGTGTGTGTGTGTGTGTGTGTGTGTGTACGTTGTTGCGTGTTTGAACATCCCCCTTGTAACATTTAGAATAAGAACATTCATGCTGAAGAATTACGTACAATGCACTACAGACAGTATATTAGTACTCTCTCTCACAATTCTGCCTTTACACCTAGTCCTAACGTTAATCCAGATTCGCTGAACACAACGTTCCCAAAAAAATGTGCGCAGTACGTCAGCTATGTACCAGTGTACTCAGCAACTCCAAAACCTAGTCTCAAGAACCCAGCATATTCAGTATTAGTACTGTACCTGATATTCCTCCAGTTCAACTTCTGTGAAGACTTGATGGCTGTTACCCATTTTCACCAGTGCGGATATTCATAGAATTCTGCTCGATGTGTGTTGTGGAGAAGGTAAATATTTGGTGGCATACACCGATGACTGTGCTATTACATGACAAGTTTGGGGAGTTTAGCGTTCCACACAAACAGTCTGAAAGGATTAATTCACGCTGAAGACAGCAGCAGCCCGAACTGGCCAAAGACAAAGTGAAGTGACATCGGGACATGGAGTCGAAACAGAAGCTGTTGTGTGAGATTTTGAAAAGAGTAGTTCGGTGACTTCGGTCTCTCGTCAGTGTCGTCACAGCTTGTGTCAGGATGATGACATCATGGCAGCATTGGTCACGTCATTGCATAAAACAATTATTTGCCCTGGAAATCAGTAGCGCTTTATATAAAAAACCTATCTTCAACTCAAACTTTTTTTCATTATTTTGGTGAAAAAGTCGTCTGCAAAGCTGAAGAATTAAAGAAGGTGGCTGCATGCATGCCCCAAACGACTTGTTGTTGGAGCTCGCGCTTGCTGCCAACTGACTATCCCGAACCCAATGAGCATGCATCGCACTATTGCCGTGCCCATGATGCAGCAAGCAAATCTCGCGTACTGTATGCGCGCCCGCTATCTTATCCTGAAAAAGTCTGATATTGGGAGAAGTCCAACAGATCTCCTGACCGAATAGAATATTAATTTTATTATAATACCACCAAGACTAGGCAAGAGTCCAAAACCAGTTGGTTATGGACTCTCGATACCACCATTCAACAATGGTCACGTGCGATCTTGCGAAGTAGCTTTGTCATCACAAATAGAAGAACGAGCTCTGGAGCTAGACGTTAACGATTGAAATAGGAATAAGACTAGATATAGTACAAAGCATGTCATATGATCCATGGTTGGTGTGAGAGGTAACACATGAGAGAGAATCAGGGAAGCAAAAACAACACTGAGAGAGAAAGAGAGAAGTGAGCGAGCGCGTGAGTGTGTGAGTGTGTGTGTGTGTGTGTGTGTGTGAGAGAGAGAGAGAGAGAGAGAGAGAGAGAGAGAGAGAGAGAGAGAGAGAGAGAGAGAGAGAGAGAGAGAGAGAGAGAGAGAGAGAGAGAGAGAGAGAGAGAGAGAGAGAGAAGTGAGCACGACAGAGGAAGAGTAAAGGAAGATAAAGGTACTAATACTGCTGCTACTGATCTAAGAACGTACTGGCAAACAAATGGGAACAAAGTGGCTACACGAGGGCAATAGACCCCACTTTTACCCACCAACACAAACAGGGTGTAAGAGACAACGGTAGGAACGGAAGAGGACGCGCACCGCTGATGAATCAGCTACTAGCATAAAGAACAACATTGAGATTTCTTCACATGTCAACAAGGATATAATTTTTTTCAAAACCAGAGTGATTGGCAAGGCGGTGCCAGATTTTGGAAGTTCTCAAAATCAAGGGCGGACAAGGCAAGGGCGGACAAGGCATGATCGGGCTGTTATGCCCATGTATCGTACAAGAGTCGCATCATACGGCACAAACACAGTTTGAGGCAGAGGATTGAATATGGGCAAGCGCTAAGTGGATACAGCAATATCTATTTGCGAAAAAAGATCAGGCAGCATAATGTGTATTGATATGAATTGCCTAAACATGTGACAAGCCTCGACGGATAGAGGACATTGTTTTGTATCAGACATGCAGCAAAGTATGGGAGCATGCAAAATAGAGAGAAAGACTTTCCTTTGTTGCCTTCTTGCATGGACAAGAGAGATGATGCAATACGGTACGGCGGCCAAACATGCGGGCATCGTACCGTGAGTTTACGCTACGTGTTCAGCTGGTGGCCAGGACGGACTCGTTTTGCAGGCTGTCCGCTTGCGATCTGAATAACACGAAAGAGAACAAAACGAATAATAGCAATGTTGAAAAACTGCACGCAAACACAAAGTATATCCATGTATACTCAGCTACTGGTACTGAAGCAGGAGAGGTATCGATGGTGGCGCCAGCGGTTTTCCAGACAAGGCAATATTAACCAACGGTGTACGGACCGTACAACTTTCGATCTCCTGGGATTGAAACCTTTTTAATATTTCAAATCGATCGTCATCTCTGGGTTATTTCTCAAAGAATAAAATACAGTCTACTCGCGATAAGTCACGCACTCGCGATAAGTCACGCATTTTTTCATCCAGGACACCCATCTCAAGAATTTTGTATTTTTCGGGATTTTGTGGATTTCGTGGATTTCGTGGATTTCGTGAATATTTGCGAATGATGTGGTTTTCAATGATGGAGCTTGAATACTGTAAAGGTAAGAATATAATTATTATGTGCATATTGTATGAGAGCCTTCTCCCTCAGGATCACCCACGACAATCCAAGTTTGTCAGTCACAAACTTCTCCCTTCGAAGCAAAATATACTTCACTAGCCGCTCCTCCATTTTCCCGAACAGGGAACTTCTGTTGCGGACTCCCTGTGGACCAGACGGATTAGCATCGGCGAGTTTGCCAGCTTCAGCATCCCTCAGCCAGCCGCGGAACATCGCCTCCGGAACATTGTTCAACTTCGCAAATTTTCGAGCGGAGGTTTTTCCACTCTCACGATAGAGACGAACCAAACGCAGTCGATCAGCCACTGTTCGCTGTTCTTTCGTTTTCTTATGAGAAGGCATCGTCAAGCAAAGGGAAACGAAGTGTTTACACGATGGAAACAGAAGTGCGTCTTGTCAAATCCCTACCAAAACGGCAAAAGTAACGGAACATCGTTACTTGTCTTTCTCGATCATGCCGCATCGATCTTGGCTTCACGCTGTGGTAGATCTACGTCTCGTGTACAGCAGCAGTGTACAGTCAGTGTAGACTACAGTACAGGCTAGACAGTACAGTGTACCGTGCGCATGCAGCTCAGTGCTTGTACGCGTGTTCAGCTCACATGGCCATATGCAGAAGAAAAAATGACGGCTGTACATATGCATGACGTGGTGCATAATGTAAGTCGCGCACTCGCGGTAAGTCGCGAATTTTCTATTCCAGGACACTGTGCGTGACTTATCGCGAGTAGACTGTAATTATGCAGGTCGAAACCTGAGAAAACTCCCAAGTGTTCATAAAAACGATTGTGGAAGCGCTCCGATGTATGGTTCCAGAGTTACGAAGCTCGAAAGTTGATTCGCAAATATCGCTCAATGGCTGCGTACGCAGATTTGAATGAGAGACTTTCCCACCTTCCTGGGCATGCGGTGACGTGGAAATTCATTCAAATGGCACATATACTGGTGACAGATTGTAAAATTGAAGTTGTTACGAGCAAGGAGAGCGAAATGGCTGGGAGCACACGACTTTTGTCAGAATACTGGCGTTGCAACTAAGACGTCGGGCTGTAGTGCTGGCGTTTTGACCCTCATGGTAGCAAGTGTGGGCCCTGTGCTTTCTTCTTGTGACGAACTTGCGAGGAAGCCCAATATTGTAATAATTGTCGAAAGGAGACCAAAGTGAATTGAGGCCGAAGTCAGCCTGCGTACTTTTTTTTCTGTACATAAAAGACAACGGGTTAGGGTTGTGTTGCTTTCCGTAATGTCGCGTATAAAAGCATGTGCTTACGGCCGTATAAGCCGGGGTTCAAACCATGCTTCTACGTCAAGATCATCAGTATACACTGTGCAGTGCATACTGCCACGTGTTTACTGTGCAAGTCTTGCATGTATCTTTGCACAGAGCGGCTTCTATTCAAATTATGCTTCTGTGTCACGGCGCACTTCGAAAATTCGGCTTCTATTCGAGTCATGCTTCTATACAGGTCATGCTTTTATACGCGACACTACGGTATGTGAGTTAGTCAAAGACTGTACTAATACATGTAACTGCACACTACTCACAGTTTCCCATTGGTCCTTGAGCTTCTCATACTCGCTTTCAAAGAAAGCAAACACCTCTTCACAATCCTGTAACACCACGAAGAAAGGAGAAATACAATGTCACCATGGTAACATCAGCATACCAACCGAGCTGCTTCCTTCTTACTATCGGCAAGAGTACATAACCCCCAACAGTGTGCAACTGACCGCACAACCTCTATACAATGGTGCGACAGCAGAACTTCACATCACGTGACATGGTTCAAAGGTTTGCGCTGGCAAACAGTGGAAAGTGACCACTAGAGAGTTGAACTCAAAGCGGGGTTGAGCACAACCCGTATCTATCATGCACAGCAATGCCAACAACGTGCACGGGTTCATAAAGTGATGTGAAGTTCTGCCGTCGCAGACCCCATAGCTGGAGTTGCCCACTCTCGGGGGGTTATGTACTCTTGCTATCGGTTGTGAAGAAGTACCAGTGTTGCATCACAAAGGGAGCCACAAGGGGCCATCCATGAATGTTGCCATTTACCACGGGAAAATCAGCACAGAAAAGAATACGGCAAGGGGGAGCAGGAGGTGGCAGTGTCGCCTAAACCGTAAAGTACCACCAGAGCACCCCACCCTGAATCACGGAAAGAGGACTCTCGTTTCAACCATAGAAGCGAACGTCGTATGGTCTGGTGTGACTGAAAATCGTATGGGGTTCCTTCTGTTTTTGCAACATTGGGGTTGCGTCGCATTTTACTTGTCCGGTGAGCCATGTGAACTGCAATGCCCAGCGCTGCAGACAGCAAGAAACATGGAATTTACCTTCACCAAGCCGCTGTTGCTTCACTGCGACAGTCCCTGCGTAGGTGTGTGCATGACCCCAGTACAGACCACCTCACACACTCGCGGCCACCCTGCCTACCCAGAGCGACCACGAAAGGACGATTGGCGGGGTGCTCTGGCGGTACTTTACGGTACATGCGTGGTCATCCACCAGTTTCTAAATTGGCTTGCTAAAGCAAATCTTCCCCCATTGAGCCTTACCTTCACAGCTGGATGCTCAGGTGAATTGTAGAGGTGACAGTTGGATCTCACCAAACGTATGTCATTCAGCCACTCCATGTGAGTAGAATAGGCATCTTGCTGCATTTGCATTCCCATGAGAGAGAGAGAGAGAGAGAGAGAGAGAGAGAGAGAGAGAGAGAGAGAGAGAGAGAGAGAGAGAGATAGAGAGAGATAGAGAGAGAGAGAGAAAGAGAGTGAGAGAGACAGAGGCGGACAGCGAGACATTATTGGCAAGAATATAAAGGCAAAGCACCTTCATACCATCTAACGTTACAACAAAGTGCTCAGTCCAACAGCACTACTCTGCCCAAAGTGTATGCAACCATGGTCCTAAAGTATTGACAGGAATCGCGCAGGAGAAGTCTGCTATGTCCTAAACACAACATACTTCTCAGCTACAGTTCAAGGCAGAGTGTGCAGCAAGGCAGCGCTCACTCCCAGACAGATATCCACTTCGGACTAGAACTCAAAGTTGACGCCACATCAAGTCCTACCTCCAATTTTCGTTTGATGGTTCCGAAGTCCATAGGTTTCTTGACAATGTCGAGGTAGCCCGGCGCCGTCTTAGGGTTTACTGAAGATCAAAAAACAGCAGGAGCACATTGACAGTATTCATGCAAGAAACACCAGATAGACTGAATGACTCTTCATTCGCTTGGGAAACAAGACACAGTAAGACCAGTCAACCGGAGTCCAGGGGACCAAAGGGACACGGCATGCACCTGTCCCTGAGGACCAATTGAACCAGGACCAAAGGCTGTGTCATTTCCACGCATCTAATAAAGGGAGCACATACGCATGGGAGCATGATTTGGAGGTCCGTTCAGCGAAGACATGTTCCACCGTACAACATTCAGTAGTCAACAAGTGCGGACGTACTTTAAACAAGACTATTTCATCTTTGTTTCTATCATCAAAATGTCTTCAGTCGAATGATGTCAGCAACCTTCAGTATACTGTATGTCGTGTATTCATTACTCGAGTCAACACGACAACCACTACACATGCCGTAGAACAAGCTGGCGGCAAACGTACACTTGATTTATAGCACACATCACCTTCAGTTACTCACCTGGCTGCAAAAACCACGCCGATGCATTGAATTGGTTTTTAGACCGGTTGTGACCGCGAAACTTGTTCATGCGTTGCATAAGCCTGATGAATACATTCACAGCAATAGAAAAGAAGAAGAAAATCTATAGACACACAATCATGTGGCAAGCATGAGAAGCGTACTAGCAATATTACTCACAAACATCCTCAAATAAGCAAGCATGCGGAGAGGACTCCATCAAGTGCCTTAACACACACACACATCTTGGAAGGATGACAGACTCAATCGACGACCCCCCCCAGACTCTGGACGGACTTGTAAACAATGTCGCCTACGGACTCAACACATTGCAGCAAGTGGGTACGCACACAAAGTCAGAACAGAAAGACGCGCACCGTCTCCTATTGACATCAAGCATTGGAGTCCAACACCTACCCCAGCGCAGCCTTCACCCAGGAGTCGTCATCGGATGATGTCGACCTGCGTTTCCGCCGCTCAGTGGATGGGCGCTTGGTTGGAGATTCACTCTTCTGTCTTTGATGCTGTGGAGCATTAGAGGGTGGCTCTACAAGCGCAGCAGACCCATGAACAAGCACAGATGATGCGCTTTTTTCCTCCAGCTCTTGCTGCTGAACCAAAGTATCTGTTGGCTGTTGTTGCTGGATCAAAGTCTCGGTAGGCTGCTGTTGCTGAATCAATGTCTCGGTAGGCTGCTGAATCAAAGTGTTGGTAGCTTCGGTGCAATCAGCCAAGTTCACTGGAGGAGCGGGAAGTGGCGACGGCTGCGACAACACAGAAATAGTGGCGCCATGATTGTGAGCCAGAACTACACTGTGGTTGAGGGAGTCCTCAATTGCAGGGTGATCAGGTGACAAGCCATTGGCGGTTGGCACAATTTCCGTCAATAGTTGATCACCATCATCGCAAGGAGGTTCCCCGATGAGGACCGCCACATCATCGTTTGTGCTGCTTAGGCGTGTGGAGTCGTCCAGCGCACCTGCAGAGGTGCCACTGTTTGCTGTAACTGAACTGGTTATGAGAGTCATCTCACCATCGGCTTCTTCAAGATCATCAATACTCTCCGGTACAGAGGGAATTGCACTGGACAAGACAGATGTTGCACAGTCTATACTGCTGCTGCTGTCCCGACCATTGCCGGCGCCACTAACACCATCACTCCTCATCATCGCCGTTGCTGCCACCATTTGTTCCAAAGATGCGGCGGCAGCGGCCACAGTTGATGGAGTTGGTGACGCCACGGTACTGAAAGCACGAGCGAGGTCGGGCGAAACGCCTCCCATTTTCTCTGCACTAGGATCAGATTCCTGACACATTCGAATGAGTTCATCCAGCTGCTGGTCATCGGGTAAAGTGACATCATCCAGGGGATTCTCACTTCCTGCTGCCACCGGAGATGATTCATCAAAATTACTACCAGCCTTTTGTAGAATAGCTGCAACTTCATCGTTATTCCCAGACATGTCAGCTGCCAAGTGGGAAACCTGCTTGAAGCCACCTGCACTCTCATCACCATTACTTGGATACGTTCCTCCACTAGAATAACTACTGTTCTGTAGATCCACTTGAGCAGTGGGAAGCAAAGATGACCCCGCCGTTCCCGCTGAAACCACTGGCAACCTTTCCAAAGGACTTCCAGAGGTGACATTGCCACTACTTGACAATTGGCCAGCAGCAGCAGCACTACGCATGTCACCCGAGGAGCTACTTTGCAACAGATCGGCACTGGTTTGCAAGACACTGGTGGCAGCAGTCTGTGCACCTACAACAGCAGCGCCGCTAATCGATGGCGGTGAACAGGCGATAACACCCTCTTGCCCCTGCTGCTGTGCCTGCTGCATAGCTGCGCTGGGCGGTGCGCCATCAATGCCTTTGCCAGTGTTGCTACTCAGTGTCGAGGTGGTGCTAGCTTGCATGCAGCTTGTCTGCACAGTGACAACAGGCGAGTCACTCACACTATCGATGTTGTTGATCACACTGCTGGCAGGGGTCGGAGCAGAAGCAGCAGCATTAGTACTGCTACTACTTCCAGTGCTGTTGCTACGCAGCACACCAGCAAACTGCTGTGGCACAATTCCGAGCTGTGTAAGAGACTCCGACTGATACGTTACTGAGCTGAATGAGGAGCGATGTGGTAAGGTATCAGTAGCTGGCATGGAGCTGTACAGTTGCTGAGCTGCTAACGGAAGTAGTGGCAAGCCAGATTGCAGACTTGCTGCAGATGCACCTGGGGATGCCCTATTCGCAATGGCAGCAGCGGCTAAAGAGTGCAATGCAGCATTGGCATTAACTGGGGACGATGGGGAGCCAGAATTGTGTACTCTAGGCTGAACTGTTGTTGAGGTTGAACAGGTCTGTAGTGTAGACGAAACAACATTGGTAACAGCACCACCAATGGATGCCTGACTAACGGCTATGGATGTGCCTGGCAGGAGGGTGGCGTGGGGAACCACC